ACTGCCCCGCAGTGCTTGCCCCAATGCCATCTTTGACGCCCCGTCATCTGTGTGTGTGTCTCATCCCCTGGAGTCTAAAGGTGCAGTTATGAGCTGGCAGGAATGTTTTTAAGGGGTTGGCACTGTATGTGGCAAGTAAAGCCACTCCTCTGGTGCCACCATCCCATAGGTGTGCCAGTTCATGTCCCAGCTGCTCTACTTCTGATCCTGCTCCCTGCTGATGGTCTAGGAAAAACAGCAAAAAATGGCCTAAATGTTTTTACCCCTGCCACCCATGCGGGCGACCCGGATGAAGCTCTTGGCTCCCAGCTTTGAACCGGCCCAGCTCTGGCCATTGCATCCATTTGGGAAGTGAGCCAGCAGATAGAATGGATGAGTCCGGAACTAAAGTTCTGAGAATGGTTCTCTCGCGGGACGTCTATACCGCAGGTGGATCACTGGAAGCATCTTCTTCCCAAAGCCACTGCGGTGTCGTGTGTCTGACTCCTGTGCAGGAGTCCCTGAGCCAAGCTGACTCTGAGTGGCTGAAATGTGTGTTGGCACATGGTGTTGGCAGATGGCTGTTCCCCAGCCTGTCCTTGGGTGGCCGGAGGTGTGACCAGGAACCTAGGTTGGAAGGTGCTCTGGTGCTTGCACCCTCTTTCTCTTTGGGTTTCAAGGCTGTAATACCCATGTCAGCCTAGAGTGGCGCTTTGGTGTATAAACCCAGGAGTTCTAGTTCCTACTTGCCATATGCCTTGTGACCTTGTGTGACCTTGGGCACCTTGCTGCCCTGTCTCTGGAACTGTAAAGGGAGTGTACTGGGATTGGTCCCATAGAGAGAACCGTGGTGGTGTGGCAGGGACGAGAGACCTCTGCTGCCCATGACGGTTTGAGAGATGGGTGCAGTGGCCACTCTGGAGTGAAGTGTTTGCTACCACTGAACTTGTGGAGCTGCCTGAGTGCACCTGGGTGGACATCTGCCGGCACCTGTTGCTTCGCTGGAGCGTCTCACCTGGGCGTCCGTTGTATGGCCTGGCATGGTGGCAGCAGTCAGCACCTCGGTTTGTGCATTCTCCCCGGCCATTCATGCTGGCCCCCAGAAGTATGTGTCCCCCGGGAACCCATCCCACCCTTCCCGGCATCCTTCAAGCCCTGTGGCTGGCCCGGACACAGGGAGTGGAACGTCTGAGGCCCGAGCAGGTTTGGTGGCAGTGTTGTGTTGGTTGCGTGCTTCACACGGGGCAGGGTGCCACCTTGACCTGTCAAACACATGTCTACACGACTAAACAGAAATGAGGAGTACAGCCACCGTTTGTTTGGGATCCACAAAGTTATGCTTAATCCATGTACAATGGATCTGTCTGATGGTGTGTGTGTGTAAGATTTAAAGTTTACTTGAAAGGCAGAATGACTCAGAGGGAGACAGAGATGTTCTATCTGCTGATTCACTTCCCAAATGGCTTTGGCATTGGGGCTGGCACAGGTGGAAGCCAGGAATTCTATCCAGGTCGCTCGCGTGGGTGGTAGGGTCCAAGTGCTTAGGCCGTGTGCTGCTTCCCTAGGCATGTTGGCAGGGAGCTGGATGGCACTGGGAGTGACGTTGGGCCGCATACTGCTTCCCTAGGCATGTTGGCAGGGAGCTGGATGGCACTGGGAGCAGTGTCTTAACCTGCTGTTCCACAGCACTGGTTCCTTTGAGATCAGTTTCTAAAATGACAGAAGCAAGTAAACTTAAAAAGTGCACGACAGGGCCCGGTGCGGTGGCGCAAGTGGTTAAGGTCCTCGCCTTGCACGCCCGGGATCTCATATGGGCGCCGGTTCTAATCCCGGTGGCCCCTCTTCCCATCCAGCTCCCTGCCTATGGCCTGGGAAAGCAGTCGAGGACGGCCCAAAGCTTTGGGCCCTGCACCCGCGCGGGAGACCCGGAGGAGGCTCCTGGCTTCGGATTGGCATAGCATCGGCCGTTGCGGCTCACTTGGGGAGTGAATCATCGGACGGAAGATCTTCCTCTCTGTCTCTCCTCTCTGTATATCTGCCTTTCCAATAAAAAAATAAAATAACTCTTAAAAAAAAAAAGTGCATGACAAGTCCCAGTCCTTGCCCCTGAGCCGAGAATGCCCGTGTCCTCCCTTCCTGGACAGAGGGGCTGGTGGATCGAGCACATCAGATTGGGAGCGGCTGCTGGGTTAAAACGAGCTGGAAAGGGGGCCCTCGTCCTGGTGTGACCCAGGGTCTTTTCTGGGTCAGAGATTTTTACCTCTGGACCATTAGCAAGTGCCAGAGTTTAAGAGAAAGTGCTTTTTCTTTTTTTTTTTTTTTTTTGGAAGAACAGCTGTCCTCAAGCTGTAAATAAAAGCTGGTAGACCAGTTTGGGATAATTCCAGAAGTTTTATTCCCAGGCAACTTATTTTAGGCTCTTGCTTTTAAGTTTGTGTTTTTGGCAAATGGGAAATTAAAGCACTCCACTCCTTGCTGCTTGTCAGTAGGCAGGTCTCTCACACAGGGCCCTGTTGCTTGCTGTGTGTTCGTGGCGTGTTTGCACCAGGTACTCAGGGGAGAAGCGGAGAGATACAGCAGGATGGACTGTGTAAGAAGCGCTGCTTATGTTTGCAGGGCCCACCTGAAGGGGCCCCTGCTGTACTGGGCGTTAAACACCTGGCTGTCATCATCATAGTTGACCGAAGGACTTGGGCCAGAAATGCATGAGGTGATGGTGATGGCGCCGCCAAAACCCTCATGGATCACTCTGAGGTTGCTGGGCATGATATTGCGAACTTAGAAGGGAAGTGAATGCTTTTTAAAAACAGATTTAACTAACTTTTAAAAAAGACTTATTTATTCCTATTAGACAGTCAGATATATAGAGAGAAGAGACAGAGAGAAAGATCTTCCATCTGCTGGTTCACTCCCCAAGTGGCAGCAACAGTCAGAGCTGAGCTGATCCTAAGCCAGGAGCCAGAATCTTCTTCCAGGTCTTTCATCCACGTGGGTGCAGGGTTCCAAGGCTTTGGGCCATCCTTTACTGCTTTCCCAGGCCATAAGCAGGGAGCTGGATGGGAAGTGGAGTAGTCAGGGCAGGAATTTCCATCCATATGAAATGCCAGTACTGCAGATGTAGGATTAGCATGCTGTACTGGCCCGAGAAAAGAAGTTTGTAGAAAAGAAAAAACCCAGACCCCCACCATGTGGTCTGTGAAGGAGACAGGGGAGCGATCCTGGAGGTGTTTGTGCCATGCTGGTGGATCCCGTGGACAGCAGGCGGCTAAGTACGGGCAGCAGCTTGCCCAGACGCAGAATGAGCTCCACCCCTCGACACTCGTGTGGGCTGGCGCTGGCCTCTAGGCCACCCTGCTGCCTAGCTACGTCAGTCCAAGGCGCCAGGCAGCCTGTTCCCTCCATGTGGATCCTGCCCCTGCAGCAAGTGGTCAGGAACAGGGGCAGCCTCTGAGTTCACCCCTTGCCACTAGCATCAGCAGGGCAGCGTGGGGAAAGGGCTGGGCAGTAGGACTGGCATCCCTCTGTCCCCCACACCCCAAATTATCAGCTCGGCCCAGACAGCCCGACATTTGACCGTGGCCACCAGTTCCCTCCTGACACCATGGTGGGCTGCCTGTCTTGACCACAGCTTTCAGATAGTTAAAAAAAATAGCCTGTGGTTGGCTGAGGCCTGCCCTGCAGCTTTAACCACGCGTGCACAGCTATAAATAGAAGGAAGCAGGAAGATTTAGTGATCCATGCATGAAACTGCTACAACTGGGGAACTTTTGGTTTGGGCCAGGTGGGCTGTTTTTGGCAAATAGTAGCCTGGACGCTCAGATCTGTTGGAATTTCAGCCGCAGCTCAGCCATGGTTTGGTTACTTGCAGGCCGTGCTGCTTGGCCTGCTGCTAGCGCGATGGGAATTGACACATCTTGTGAAGCACAGAAAAAAAAAAAAGTGCTACGTTTGGGCTCCAAAAATATGGCAGGTGCCTGTGGTTATGTACAGGTGTCTTTCATTGATTGATTTATTTGAATGACAGGGTGATACAGGCAGAAGCAGAGAGAGCTTCCTTTTGCTGGTTCACTCCTTAAATGGCCACAACAGCCAGGGCCGGGCCAGCACTAGACCCAGAAGGTCTTCCACAAGGGTGCAGGCATTCAAGCACTTGAGTTGTCTTCTGCTGCGTTCCCAGGCACATTAGCAGGAAGCTGGCTGGGAAATGGAATAGCTGAGACTTGAATTGGCAATACGATGTGGGGTGCCATATGATGTGGGTGGCAAGTGCTGTTTAACACACTGTGCCACAACACTGACCTGGTTTGTGGAGTCCTCCCCTGAACTGTAGGGTGGTCCACAACAGGCCCTTGTCCTTCATGTTGCAGGTGAGGGTGGCTTCCCCTGCCATGCAGGTGCTTTCCGGGACTTGCAGGACTGAAGCCCGTGCATCCCCAGGCTCTTCCTGTGTTTGCACACATGGTGTGCGTGTGCTGAGTGTGTGCGTGTCTGAGTTTGTTGGCTGACTGTGGGCTCAGAATGCCTTTAATGTATGTTGAACCTTTGAGTCCCTTTCTGCATTTCAGAAGCGCAGACTCAGTACAAGGACAGAAGGGCCTCCAACCCAGATCCCTGCAACCTGGGACAGAGGCCCATGAGCTTCCTGCAGGGCCACGCGTCTGAGGGATGGCCAGAAGCTGAAGCCCCCCCGCTGCTCCCCTGCTTAGGAGGGGGAGGTTGCTGAGGCGTGTGGTTTCACCTGGTGGTCCACGCTGCAGGTGGCCATCCCTCGTTGGGCGTTTGGAGAGGCCTGGGTCCGCTCACTGGGGGCTTCCCCCGTCATCAGGCTATAGGGTGTGGAGAAGGGTGGAGACAGGTGCCCTGGGCTGCAGGTGCTGTTGGAATAGCAGTGTGGAGAGTGGCATGGGCTCCTGGGACGGCTTGGCCCTCCCAGTCCCGCTTCTGCCAATGTGGGAGTTGCTCCCCGCTGAGCCCCAGGGCCCAGTGCTTGGTGGCCAACAGTTCCCCTGCCTGTCTTACAGCACACGTGGAGAATGAGGAGCAGTACACCCAAGCCTTGGAGAAGTTTGGGGGCAACTGTGTGTGCAGGGACGACCCAGACCTGGGGAGTGCGTTCCTCAAGTTCTCCGTGTTCACTAAGGAGCTGACGGCACTCTTCAAGAATCTGGTGAGTGTGCACCCGGCAGCAGGTGCCTGCATGCCAGAGCTGGGTCAGTGGGGGTGACAGTACTAGGTTGGTAGGCATGATGGGGACTGATCAGTGGGCAGGACGGGGCTGGGTTGGTGGGAACTGCAACATGGGGCTAATGACAGTTGATTTGTTATGCTAGGAATTTTCATCATGCCTCAGGCACTTAATGAATTAATGTTTTCTATCACACTTTGGTCTGTTTGGGATAAAACTTAAAGCGGAGCTTTCTACCGCACCGAGATTTAGCCTTGAACCTGAGCATTTGCTATTTAGAGCTGTGGTCCCTAATGGCTCAGTGTGTCTGTCCTCCTTCAGCTCCTGTTTCCAGGGGCTTCCGCGCTGTGTGCCATTGTCTATGTTTCCGAACATTACTGATGTGTAATGAACTTGGCTCAGAACTGTTGTACACAGCCAGGTGACCTATAATCAGAGGACTGGAATTACTGGGAGTGTTTAAAGGCTGCCCGTGCCCCCAGATGCGGAGTCTAGAGCAGTCAGGGCTGGAAAGAAGGCCTCATACAGGAGCAGCAGACACAAAGGGGGTCTGCAGCGTGTTTCCTGGGACCTGGGGATGCGGGGTGCAGGGAGGCAGCCGGGGTGGCAGCCCCGTGTCCCTTCCTGTCTGTCTTCTCGCCTCTCCCCAAGTTCCCAGGAGACGCAGGCAAGAGCCCAGAGCTGCCGTCCGGCAAGCGTACAGTCACCAGCGTCTTTCATTTCTGCTGTCAGCAAGCTCGGAAAAAGTGACACATGGGTGACGACGGCATGGCTGCCAGTCTGGCCTCTGTAGGGCAGGAACAGGGACCCACCGGGGACAAGGTCATGCAGGCTCTGGGTCTCCCTCCCCATCTCTGTGTGTAAATTACTTCTGTTGGAAATGGCAGACACCAGAAGCTGTTGCTGGGCTGCACTTTGCACTCGGAAGTCTTGTGGGGCATGGGTGAAGTTCACTGCCCTTGGACACTGTCCCACATGGGCTGTGGCTGCGTGCTGCACAGCGAGGCCCTCGCCCCGGAAGCTGTCAGACATGCACACGGAGAACTCGCTGTTGAGTCACAGAGGATGGGAGCAAGGTGTTTTTTTGGTTTGTTTGTTTTTGTTTTTGTTTTTGTTGTTTTTAAGATTCATCTTGATTGGAAGGTCAGACTTACAGAGAGAAGGAGAGGCAGAGAGAAAGATCTTCTATCTGCTGATTCACAACCCAAGTGGCCACAAGAGCTGGAGCTGAGCTGATTCAAAGCCAGGAGCTTCTTCCAGGTTTCCCATGTGGGTACAGGATCCCAAGGCTTTGGGCCGTCCTCTACTGCTTTCCTAGGCCACAGGCAGGGAACTGGGAGGGAAGTAGAGCAGCCGAGATACAAACTGGAGCCCACATGGGATCCTGGCGTATGTGAGGCGAGGACTTTAGCCACTAGGTAGTGCGCCAGGCCCACTTTTTTGTTGTTGTTAAGATTTGTTTTATTTTTATTTAAAAAGCCAGGTTACAGAGAAAAGCAGAGACATAGAGAACGGTCTTCCATCTGCTGGTTCACTTCCAAATGGCTGCAGTGGCTGTAATGGCTGGAGCTGAGCTGATTCAAAGCCAGGAGTCAGGAGCTTCTTCTGGGTCTCCCACGTGGATGTAGGGTCCCAAGGGCTTGAACCATCCTCTGCTGCTTTTCTGGGAGATAGGCAGGAAGCTGGATTGGAAGTGTAGCAGCTGGGACACAAACCTGTGACTATGGAATGCTGCCACCACAAGCAGAGACATAGCCTACTACACCACAGTGCCAGCCCTGGGAACATTTTTTAAAAACCTGTTGAATCTGCAGGGCTGATGTTTTGGCTCAACAGTGAGGTTAAGCTGGTGCTTACAGCACTGGCATCACATCAGAGAACTAGTGTGAGTCCTGGCTGTTCCTCTTCTGATCCAGCTCCTTGCTAACGTACATGGGGAGGCAACAGGATGGTCCAAGTGCTTGGGCCTCCGTCACCGATGTGGGAGAGCCGGAGTGGCGTTCCTGGCTCCCGGCTTCAGCCTGGACCAGCCTTGGCTGTTGTGATCACGTGCAGAGCCAAGGAGTGGATGGTCTGTCTGTCTCTCTGGCTCTCCCTCTGTCTTTTTGCCTTTCAGAAGAGTCAAAGGTAAGATAGATCTTAGCAAAGGAATGTTTTGGGGCTGCAGGCTCCCGGGGTGTGACTCTGGGAGCTGCCGTGGAGGGGAGGTCTCCTGGTGACACACCAGTCTCCCAGCCTACCCGTGGGCGCAGGTGTCTTCCATGCTCCCAGGGCAGTCCCTGAGTTTCCTGGGCTTCAAGCTGAAGAATGAATGGGAGGGACCAAAGGCAGTGGGGGGAAGGACTGGGGAAAGCGGGACAGGAAGTAGAGGGGGTTAAACATGGGAGTGATAACAGACTTGGGTGAAGCCTACTGAACTGGCGTGGGTGAGCACTTTAAAATGAGAAGTGGAAAAGTGGAGGCGGCTGGACTGCCTGCCTGGCAGCTAAGTCACCCACCATGACCCATGTTTCACATCCCCGATCCCAGGGCCTGGTCTGGGTCCTCGGCTCCAGCTCCTGACCACAGCTCCTTGGTAAGGCAGGGCCTGGGAGGCAGCGAGGGTGGCCCAAGTGGCTGTGTTCCCTCCACCCATGCCGGAGACTAGCTGGGGTTCTTAGCTGCTTGCCTCAGCCTCAACCAAGGGCCCAGGTAGGCATTTGGGGGACATAGTAGTGGATAGGAATATGTTTCTCTCTCTCTCTCTCTCTCGTCTCAAATACATCTTTCAAAGATTTCTAAATGAGAGAGGTCATCTTTGAGGCAACCGCAGTAAACACAGTTAAGGCCGGAGGGGCCCAGCCTGCACACCACGGGGCCTCACCTAGGATCGCCACAACAGGGGAAAAGCCCACCCTGAGACAGCTGCGCATGAAGTGGCAGATGGCTTTAGAAGCTTCCAGAAAGCACCTAGAGGCTGTGGGAGCAGATGCAGTAGACTTTGGAATCCCATGCAGAGTCGCTCACCTCGAGCCTGCCAGCCAAGCGTGAGAGGAGACGTGCAGGCATCTCTGGTCACATAAGACGCGCGAGGTCTCGCTTCCCCGTGTTGTGGCTGGAACTCCTTCAGGATGTGTTTAGGCAAATGAAGATGGAAGGCTGAGCGACCCAAAGCTCCCAGTGCCAGCAGCCGGGAGCCAGGCGGAAGGCCGGGGCCGTGGGCCTGTTCCCAAGCCCACGCAGGTGTGGGTGCTGTAAAAACCCAAGGAAGCCCAGGACCTGTGGAAGGGGCTGTGGCCACGCAGTGGCTAAGCGTCAGCCAACCACAGGGAAATTCTCCAATCATGTTTGGTGTTTCATATCCTATTTTTGTTCCTGTTTTTGGCCACTTCAACGCCTGGCTCCTGCCCTCCCCTGCCCTATGTGTTTAAAAGCACATCCCAGTTCCACAGCAGTGATGGCTGCACCTTCCTGCCCTGACTCTGCCCAGCTCTTCCACTGGCTGGTTCACGCCCCAAAATGGCCACAGTGGCCGGGGCTGCACCAAGCTCCAACCAAAGCCAGGTATCAGGAGCGTCTTCCCAGGCTCCCACATGGGTGCAGGAGCCTGTGTGCTTGAGTCAGCCTTAGAATAACAGGGAGCTGGATTGGAAAAGGAGCAGCCTGGACTTGAACCAGGGCTCATTTGCGCCGCCAGTGCTGCAGGTGGCGGCTCAGCCCACAGTGCCCTGGCCCCTGTCTGCTTCCTTGTCTGTGAGTGGAGAGCCAGTCCCTCGAGTTGAGTGTGACTTGGTGAGCTAGTGTCTGGCCTCTTTGAGGGCTCAGGAGCAGACCTGACCCAGTAACCCCATCTGCCTCGCACATCCAGGCCCCCAGCTTCCCACTTCTGGAAGTGACCGGAAGTTGGCAGCACAGGGCCACAATTGTGAGCACTGAGACCTCTGCCCAGGCTGCTTCTCATTGAAGCCGTGAGGAGGAAGGTTTGTTTGCCATGGGGCAGGTGGCTTGTCTTGGATTTTACTCATTGACTTTGTGTTTGAGTGGTATTGGCTGCACATGAAAAGAGAAGCAGCTGTCTCCAGATTTCACAGCGTGATGTTGTCTTCTGCTGAAACAACTTATAAATTGGGCATATTAAATCAAGGGGCTGGCACTGTGAAGCCACAAGTTAAGCTGCCATCTGCAAAGCCATCTTCGCATGTTAGAGTGCTGCTCCACTTTGAATCCAGCTTCCTGCTGGTGCGCCTGGGAAAGCAACAGATGAGGCCTGGCCCTGCCACCTGTGTGAGAGACCCAGGGGAAGCTCCTGACCTTGGCCTGGCTACTGTGGCCACTGGGGACTGAGCCAGCAGAAGGAACACCTCTGCTCTCTCTTCCTCTGTCACCTTCCTTTCCAATAGGTAAATAAGACGGCATGGTTTGTGCTATATAGTTGTGGAATGTTCTTTTCTGGGAAGTTCTGAGATTATTTCTTGAAAGATGTGGACTTGTGTAAGGGTTTGGGTCAGGGGGCCTGGGAAGACTGATTTTTCCTAGTGTGAGGGCTGGAGCTGGTGCTGCCCTTCCATGTGGGAAGCCCTGCCCAGGTTGGTGGGGCGTGTCCATGGATCCCTCGCTGCTAGCTCCCTGGTAAACGGAATCAGCTAGTGCCTTGGGCAGCGGCAGGCGGTGCTGCCATCCGGATGCAGCCCCTTCATTCCTGCTCATGAGATGACACAGCCGCTGACCTTGTCCTGACTCATCCTGTCTGGCTGGTCCAAGTGAGCTCAGATGCCGAGGGTGAACGGGAGGAACAAGAGGGAGGGTTGTCAGGCGTAGCAGCTGGAGCAGCAACAAGTATAATTGCATGCAGGTTGTACTTGGCCGTGGCAGAAGGCCACTTGACCTCACGTGTGTGTGGACGGTGCTTGCTTTGGTGGGAAGGACGATGCTTTGGTTGAGTCAACCAGAGAGGACAGCATTCTCGTTCACACTGCAGTAGTCACGGACCCAGGCGGAGCCGCCCAAGCACGAGGGAAGTGCGAGTTGTCTCCGAGCTCTGGCTTTCACCTCTCAGGGCCACAACTTGAGGACGGGGGCCTTCGGCGTGGGCTTGAGGTTATCCTGGCACACAGGTGCGGGGGGCACTCAGAGCCCACTCCCCCCATGATGCAGGTGCACCTGCCGTGCTCCTGCCCTGGCCACGTGAAACTCCTGCCTCTCTTTTCTGTCTCAGCCTAGGCCCTGGGAGGTCTCTGAGTCATGTTGCTCATGTGTGACTGCCCAGAGGCAGGCAGCCAGCGGCCAGGAGACTGGCACCTTTCCCGGGGAAGCTGTGATGGGGATGCAAGTTATATTTGTAACAATTTCTATAATTTATGGGTATGTGTATTTTAAGAACTTCATTTAATTGGGGTCGGTGTTGTGCCATGTCAAATACTGCAGCCACCTGACATAAACAGCATCCCAAATGGGTGCTGTCGTCCTGGCTGCCTGCTTCCAGTCCAGCTCCCTGCTAACAAACCTGGACAAGCAGTGGACAGTGGCCCAAGTGTTTCAACCCCTGCCATCTATGTATGTGGGAGACCTGAAAGAAACTTCTGGTTCCTGGCTTCAGCCTGGCCCAAACTTGGCTGTTTCAGCCATCAGGAGAGTGAACCAACCGAAGCTTGTCTGTCATTCTTTCAAATAAATACATCTTTTTGTGTATATATATTATTTTGAATTTTCAAATTTTGTGGCACAATTTCATATAGAAATTCCTCCCCCAAAACTGCCACCCCAACAGATTTTCCCCATATTGCTGCAATAATATAGTCCTTCATAAGAAAGTCAATACATCTTTTTAAAAAATATTTATTTAGTTGTTTATTTGAAAGAGCGGCATGGATGGCGAGACGGATAGGTCTCTCCCTCAGCCTACTGGTTCACTCCCCAAATGGCCACAAAGTTTGGGGGTGGGCGAGGTTGAAGCCAAGATCCTGGCACTCCAACCTGGTCCCCCAGTGTGGGTGCAGGTACCCCAGCATTTGGAGCATCTTCTGCTGCTTTAGCAGGGGCTGGAATTGACACTGAGCAGCCGGGACTTGAACCCAAGGCGCCAACACAGGATGCTGGCTGCACGAGTGGTGGCCCAATGCTCTGTGCCATGGCGCTGGCCCTGGAAGTGCGCTTCCCACACTGCAGGCATCACGGATCAGAGACACCGTGTGACATCACCCAGGGGTGCAGCCAGGGCTGCACCTCCATTTCCTGCCAGGAGCTTCCCGCCCTCAGCCTGTCGGCATCCCCGTCCCCACCCCCGCCCCTGCTCCAGTTCCCGCTGGTTCACTTTTTTCCCTTCAGACTGGGAAAGGACTCATTTTCTATTTTAGATCACTTAATTAGCTCTGAAAGGAGACTGTAGCTGAGTAGGGCTCAGATATGGCCTGGCCTTCCCTGATGCCTTCCCTGGCCGTCCCCTTTGGCTGTCCTGCAGGGGGCTGACTAGCTTGTCACCCCCATGCTGCACTGCCTGTCCCCCTGCTCTCCCCTGGTCTTTGATACTTGGTCTCCTATCTCCTGGTCAGCAAGTACTGCCCTGGTGCCTGAGCCAGAGCCTGTAGTGTTCTGTCTCCACTTCTCAGAATCTCTGCTAGGCAGCCATGTGAGACACGGACTGCTCTGAGCACGGTCTGTGCCACCTGCTGATGCTGGAGGCTCCAGTGGCCGTCATGACTGCCACCAGCCAGTTGGGTCACATTGAGCCTCTAGGCTCCGTCCCATGTCCATCACAGGATGGCCACAGTCACTGTTCAGATGGACACTCGTTGCTTGTGCATGTGTGGACATGCACAGCCTGTTCTGCCCTCTGCTGGGCACCCACACTCTGCTGACCACTCCCAGCCTGGTATCTGTTGCAAGCAGAGTGAATGAGGAGTGGTCTCCCTCTGGATGCAGAAGCTTGGCGGTGACTTGTTTCCCTGCTGCAGAGTATCTCATTCCTCCCACTCACTCAAGGGACCCTTCCTGCTCATTCATGCCCTGCGTAAAAAGCGTGGTAGGACCTGTGACCCGGAGCCTGGTGCAGCGCTTTTGACTCTGCTGTCGCCCAGGTGGCCCAGCACGGTTCCGAGGCAGGGAGTTCAGAGTTGGCCTGACCCACGCCCGTAGCTCTGACCCTGGTTTTATGGCTCATACAGACAAATGGCCCTTGTCTCAAGGGTCAGTAGCTGGGACAGTTACAGGTCAGCCTGCCTGCCCGCCTGCCTGTCTGGTCTCGGCCAGCTCTGAGATGCGGGATGCAGGAGCCAGGCAAAGTAATTTGGGGGCCGTGATGCCTTGGGGTTTTGAATTCTTGGAATTCCTGGGGTGCAGGGAGAGAGCAGGCAGGCGCCCTTGTGGTCAGCTGCTGTCGCCTCTAAACAGGCTTGAAGTGCTCCTGTGACACCTGAGCTGAGGAGGTCACAGGTGTGTGCTGGGTGTCAGGAGCAAAGCCGCACCTGTGATCCCTCGGCCTCTTGGGCATCGGATGCCCCATGCCACGTTTATACAGGTGCCTTCCCTCACTGCCTCTGCCTGGGCCCAGGTGTGCCCTCAGGGGGAGGGGCTGGCGAAGTGAGGCCACAGCCTTGAGAGACTTAGAGAAAGGACATTGCTGGAGGAGTTGGGGCCCACTTCCTGCTGGGGAGACGGGGTGGAGAAGACAGCCCAGGCCTGGCCTTGGGCTGAGTGCCCAGCGGGTAGAGGTGTGGACTCAGCTGTGAGGCACTGAGGAAGATGCCTCTGGGGCAAGGGCAGGTCTCCACCTGCACTGCTCTAGCGCCTTCCTGCTGGCTCACAGGGGACCCAGGAGTTCACCTGTGAGTCAGCACCTCCCTTCCTGCTGGGCTTCCTCAGGCAGGCTCTTCAAGGCTGTGCTGGGTGCCCCGCCCTCTGTCTGAACCCTCCCAGTACTGTGTGGTGGGTGGGAGTCATGGTGTCTCAACAGTGTGCCCAGGCTGCGGCTCCCTCCCGAGGCTCATCATGGTAGTCTTCTCCAGCTGTAGCTTGGGGTGCAGGCAGGGTCTGAATGGGGGGCACTGGCAGGGAAGGCGTTTGTGTTTTCTGCAAAGGGAGGGGCTGTCCTGGGGCCCAGGACTCACACTCAGCCCTCCCTTGCTCACAGTTACACACACGCACACACTCCCATGTGCACACAGCTAATGGTCAGGCCTCCGTCACGTCCACACACTCCCGCTCGTCCCTCCTATCCTTTGCCTTCTCACCCAGACACTTGTATGACACACACACTGAGTTGCCAGTCGGTTCTGGCGTGGGAAGCAGGTCTGGGGCCTGGCATAGCCCAGGTGAGAGCCAGAAGTGGCCGGGTCCGCGCAGCACGTACTCAGATGAAGGTGTCATGGAGTGATTTTATTGATTGTCAGGAGCTTTGTGATTTTCTGGTGCCAAGCGACAGCTGGGAGGCTTCCTTTGTCCCGAGTTCACGATGGAGAGGCAGTGTCCCAAGTGGGTGAGGCCTCTGACGCCACCCCACCTGGCGCCACGTGCCCGCCGATCTCGGCCCTCTCCACGGCAGATTTCGATGGCGTCTGAGTGAGGCGGTCTTGTTTCTTTTTGTTTTCTAGATTCAAAATATGAACAACATCATCTCCTTCCCTCTGGACAGTTTGCTGAAAGGGGATCTGAAAGGCGTGAAGGGGGTAATGACTGAGCCGGGACCACCAGGGCAGAGCTGGTGCCACCGCAAGGGGGTGGGGAGGTGGGAGGAGCTGCCTTCCTGACCTGTGTGATGCCACAAGCCGAGGGAGGGAGGGAGTGTGGCGGTAAGGAGGGGCTGTTGGGGTGGGCCGCTGTGGTGGGTGGGAGTCCCGTGGGAAGGTGTAGGCTCTTAGCCGGAGTCCCAGCAGTACACCCACAGGGAGGACCCGAGCAGGGCTGGCATTCCCTCTGTGGAGAAATGGTCCTGCAGGCTGAGAGCCTTCGGCGGAGTGTGCATGAGCCTTCAGGACTGGGTGTGGGCTGCTGAGTACCAGCTGCTGAGCGAACGACTGTGCTCTCCGAGGGCAGTTTTTGGAGTTCTGGGATGCTGGGCACACCTGAAGCCCGGCCCGGCCCTGCCTGGGGCCCCCAGAGAGAGCCTGACTTCGATGTTGCTGGGTGTGGAGCCAAGGGCTGCAGGATGCTGGAGACACTGCCCATCTCACAGGAGGAGGCCTGCTGGGCTAGCTGGGGACACTGGAAGGCAAACAGGCCAGACCTGTGCACCAGAGTCGTGGACAATAAAGCTCTGGGGCTAAGGCCATGTCACGAGGCATTGGAAAGACTAAAGAATTAAATACATGCCAACATTAACACAACGAAGTGAAACAAAGCAGTTTCCCCTTCTAAAAGTTTCACCTTGAGGGGAGTATAACTAGGTAGGAGCCAGTTAATACAATCTCTAGTGGCTCCCTTTTTTTAAAAAAAATGTTATTATTTTAGGATTAATCCAGCATCAAGAACTTCATCTAGGTGTCCCATGTGGATGACAGGGCCCAGGTACTTGGGCCATCCTCCACTGCTGCTTTCCCAGGTGCAGTAACTAGGGAGCTGGATCGACGTGGGATGGCAGTGTCTCACTTAGCCACCTGCCCACAGAGCCGGCCCGTCTCGGGTTATTTGGAGTTCTTCCGAGAGGATGAAGAGATGAGTTCTAGAAGAGAGTGCAGGAGAAGGGGCGTGGCTTTCATGTTATGAGCTGTGCTCACCTCCATCTGTATTTTGCATTTGGAGAGATTACAGTCTCTTATTTTGCAGTTGGGGAGATTCATAGACCGTCTGAGTCCCTTTTGAACTGAAATATTTCCATATTGAATGTCATCGTTGCAGATTTAATTTCAGAACAAACCTAGGGTAGGCAGTAGGGTGCAGAAGATACAAGATAAGCCACAGGATTGTATCAGGGTGAGGGTCTGTTGCAGTGCTGTCTCTGCCATTGTATGCGTTGGATACATTTTGTGCCACATGTTTTAAACAAAGGAAAAGGCCAGTGCTCCTCTCATTAAAAGCCTGCCCCATAGCTGCTTTGTTTTTCACGAGATTACACACATCATTTATTGCAGAAGTTAATGCTCCATTCAGGACTAGCCTAGGGTAAGGAAGTTTAATTGCATAGTAGCTTGCGATCAGCCCTGCCTCATGCATGCCTCTCTGTTGACAGGATCTGAAAAAGCCGTTTGACAAAGCGTGGAAGGACTACGAAACAAAAATGTGAGTGTTTTCACGTGCGTAGGTGATTTTGTGATTTCAGGTCTCATCCAGGTTTTTATTGTTCAGGGGGGATTTTCTAAGTAAAACTTAATCCTGGAAAGAATTTTGCCTCCGGCCTCTGGATGGCTGTGGTTACCACGGCGACACCTGCAGGTGGCTGAGTTAGCCACACCTCCTGATCCCTCTTTCTACCTTGGATTGATTGCTTGACCTGCCGGAGAGAGAACTCATTGGCTCACGCTGGTGAGTCCTGGGTGTGCACCTTGGTTTCTGGTGAACACAGGCCGTAGTTGGTGACCAGCGGGAGCTTCTGGTCTCCTTCCCATAGCCAGCCAGGTGTGAGCTGGGATGTGAGGACTCCAAGTTTTAATCACTTCAAGTGCCTGGAGACTTGCGAACTGTATCCAAGCACCTCGTGTTTACTTTGTAAACGCTGTGCCATGGGGAACACAGGGTTTTCTGGGTGGAAATGTGAACATTTGTGTGAAGCCATCTGGTGAAGTAAGAGGTGTGAGGGGGGAAGTTAGTTCAGATGTTTTTATTGATTTTTTTTTAAATCAGCTTTTGGGGAGCATTACAGCGCTCAAAGTGAGCTGCAAGCCTTTGGTTCTTGGTCTTTCCTTGGGAATCATCTTTAAAGGTTTATTACAGAAAGAGAGAGAGAGAGATCTTTATCTGCTGGCTTGCTTCCCCGGACTGGGCCAGGCTGAAGCTCCCATGCACTTGAGCCATCTTCTGTTCGTTTCCCAGATGCCTTGGGAGAGAGCTGACTTGGAAGTGGAGCAGCCGGGACTTGAACTGGTACCCCATGGGCTGCCAGTTTTCTGGGTGGCAGCTAAACAACCTCTGTGCCCCGACACTGGCCCCAAGGAAGTAATTATTTACCCATGTGACTCATGTACCCCTTGTGAAGCGTGACCGTGTCACACTTCCTGGGCAGCAGTTGCCTACATGCCCGGCAGCGTGGCCGATGTCTGCCCTGTGGCTTGGTCCCTTTGAGGAGGTGTCAGAAGGGCGCTGGAGTCATGTAATTCTAGTCCAGGGGCCTCTCACACCGCCTCCCTGTGTACGAATTCAGCGAGAGATTTCCTGTTCTTGCGTTCTCTTCTCAAATGCCCACAGGGTCAGGGCTGGGCCAGGCTGACACCAGGAGCCAGAACCCCATCTGGGTCTTCCACGTGGGTGGCCCGGGCCTGGTCATCTGCTGCTTCCCAGGGTGCGTTAGCAGGAAGCTGGACAGGAAGTGCAGTTGCCAGAACTCGGCCAACATCTCTCTGATTTGGGACTGGGTGCGCTAAGTAGATGCTCAGTCTGCCGCCCCGCACGTGCCCCGGTGTCCCAGGGCCCAGGGTGGAGGCCTGGAAATCATCATGGAAAGACAGATCAGTGTGACAGAGAGCCGGAGGAGATGGAGCCTTCATCCACAGGTGGTGGCCAGGCTTGGAGCTGGGGTCTCCGTCCAGGTCTTGCATGTGGGGGGCTGTAGCTTGGTTCCCGGAGTTTCCACGGTTGCCACCTCAAGTCTTGGAGAGTCTCAAGTTACCCAGGGAGAAGCAGAGAAAGAGAGAAAGAGAGCGTTCTTCTAGCCACTGGTTCGCTTTCCAAATGGCCGCAGTAGCCAGAGCTGGGCTAGTCCAAAGCCAGGAGCCAGGAGCTTCTTCCAGGTCTCCCATGTGAGTGCAAGGTCCCAGGGCTTTGGGCCATCCTCCCTTGCTGTCCCTAGCCACAAATAGGGAGCTGGGAAGTAGAGCAGTTGGGACACGAACTGGTGATCATATGGAATAACGCTGCTGCAGGCAGAGAATTTGCAGCTTTCCCACCACACTGGCCCCTCAAGCCCTTGCTAGACGGTGTGACTGTGAGCTCCCTTTGTCTCTTTCTGTCTGCCTGAGCTATGTAAGCCCGGGTTGGGTGACAGCTGGCGTTGGGGAGCTGCTGGCCGGCTGGCTCCCTTGGGCCTCTCGGGGTGCTGAGGAAGCTGAGGCACGTGCAGACTTCACACTCCTCTGGTGGGGGCAGGTGCTTGAATAAGCAGTGGGAAGGCCAGGTTTGTGTTTTATGAGCCCTGACGTGTGCCTGGCGTGTGCCAGCTGGTAACCAACCATGCTTCCCGGCTAGCAAGGGGGTCATGCCAAGAGACTGTCAACCAATCCTTGCTTTTTGTCCTTCCCCGCTGCTTAGAACCAAGATAGAGAAGGAGAAGAAGGAGCACGCCAAGCTGCACGGGATGATTCGCACTGAGATCAGCGGGGCGGAGATCGCCGAAGAGATGGAGAAGGAGAGGCGGTTCTTCCAGCTGCAGATGTGTGAGGTCAGAGCCTGGGGAGGGCGGACTCTCAGGACAAGCTAGGGACAGCCTGGGCCATCCCTGGCCTGCCTGGGAAGAGCAGGAGCCTCAGGACAAGCTAGGGACAGCCTGGGCCATCCCTGGCCTGGCTACTGGCTTCATTGCTTCCTATTGCACGTTCCTGGATTCCACTGGTTGGTCCCTTGATTTGCAGGGGAGGGTGGAGTTCAATACATCCAAGTGTTGAAAAAGTAACCAATGACCTTTCTCCTGTTGCTGAGCCCTACTCTTTCCACTCTTTCCAGCTCACCACCTTTTTTTTTTTTAACTGTACCAAAAAGGAAAAGAAAAAGGCTATAATAAGCTGTCTGAGTTTGCATTGTCCCTCTGGAGCCAGTGAAGGGGCACAGGGGTTGGAAGTCAGCTGGGCAAAGGCCTGGTCGTGGAGAGGCAGCTCGGTGCTCCCTGAGCCTCATTGAGCTGTGTCTGCCCCTGCTCATGCCTGCCCCGGCCTCCCTGCTCAGCGCGGGGCTCAAACCCAGGCCAGCAGCCCACATGGTTGGCTCCTATTCATTCTGCTTTCCCCAGTGACCTTGGCCTCACCCAGGGGAAGGCCAGCGGCTGGACAGAGGCTCTAGGAGCCCAGGGACCATGTGGTGGTGAGGTCTCGATGCCTCGCTGCAGGTGCAGGCACAGGCGAGAGCTGTTGCATCTGGATTTTGAGATCCCCAGAAATCACCAGGAGTCTGAAGTCGATGCAGGTGCACAAGGATGGTTTATTCAAGCTCAAGCTTCTTGGTTGAGAGCAGGCAGCTGGCTGACCAAGCGGCTGAGCGGCCAGCCGGGACCAACACCCTTTACCAGAGTGCGGCTCTGAGCAGCCCGTTCACAGGCAGTCCGCAGTAGCTTGAAAAGGGGCAATCCACAACAGTCTGCAAGGTGAAGGGAAATACCACACGTTCCCCACCTCTCTGGCTGGACAACCCGTGCCTGGCTCTTCTGCAGTCCAGCAATTAAGGGAACCACCCACTTAATTACTTGGAGCCGCCTGTGAGATAACCAGACTTGGGCCTTCATTCTTGAAAACTGGAGCCCATTGGTGCTAAAGGTCACAAATGCCATCTGGCCTGCAAGATCACAAAGTTTCTTAGTAGCAATGAGCTGTGAACAAATGTTTGGAATTTTGATTCTGAAGTTCCTCACAACCTGTGGGACAGCCCCCACCACTGCTCAACTACCCCTGGCAGGGCCATCAAAGCCCTTGGGCTGAGTGGTCCTTCTCCCTCCTAGCTGCCCCACTTCTCCAGTGCCTGTGTGGCTGGGGCTGAGCCCAGAGCTTACACGAGAGGCCGGGGCCTCACTGCTTCAGCCGTCACTGCTGCTTCCTGCCGTGCTCATCAGCAGGGAACCGCAGTAAGGGTTAGAGGTGAGAGTGGGCGCTAAGGACTCTGCTAGGGCAGATGGGCATCGTAACAGCTAACCCGGGCGTCCATCCCTAGAGCAAACTCTTGCGTGGTCAGCAGTTCCAGGGGTGGCAGTGGAAAGCTGAGCATGTATTGTGTCTGGAGTTAATGCAGCGTTCTCCCTCTGCTTTGGTTACAGTGTGTGACCCCACAAACCGAAGGCCAGGCAGCTCAGTTCATTCTTGTTTCTCATTGCACGTGCTTGTGTTTCGGGGGACCGTTTCATGCCTGTGTCCAGTGTAGGATGGTTGAATGTTCCCATCCCCCTTCACACTTACCCTTCCTGCTGGGAACCTAGCAACTTATCTCTTCTATTTCCTTTTTGCTTTTTAAAGACTGACTGAGTTATTTGGAAGTCAGAGCCACAGAGAGTGAGGGAGAGATGGAGACAGATTTTCCATCCACTTGTTCACTCTCCAGATGGTCACAATGGCTGGTGCTGGGCCTGATCGAAGCCAGGAGCCAGGGGCTTCAGCTGCATCTCTTGTTGGAGTGTTAGGGGCCCAAAGACATGTACCATTTTCTGTCGCCTTTCCCAGGCGATTAGCAAGAAACTGGATTGGAGATAGGGAAGCTGGGGTCTCGAACCCACAGCCAGGGCTGAGCTGATCTGAAGCCAGGAGCTTCTTCAGGGTCTCCCACATAGGTGCACGGTCCCAAGGACTTGAGTCATCTTCTGCTTCCCCGGGCCATAAGCAGGAAGGTGGATGGGAATTGGAGTCCATATGGGATGTTGGTGCCTTAGGCAGAAGCTAAGTTTACTATGCCATGTTGCCAGCCCCCAGACTTTATCTGCAAGCTGCAGAACTTTTGCTCCAAAATGAATTTCAAGCAGAAACGCTGTGTGTTGCACAGGCAGCTCCAAGCTGCTGCGAGTGGAGGAGGGGCGGCAGACTGCCTTGCTGTGTAGTGCATATGAAAGTGGCGTATATGCTTGTAGGACACTCGGCCATGTTGGAAGGCATACCGAGGAGCATGCCATCATAGATTGTGCTCGTCAGGAGACGGCCAGCTGCGTGGTTAGCAAGGTGTTGTCCGTGTGTCCCTGTGAATGCATGTATAACAGTGATTCCCCCAGAGATGAATGGCTCAGAGGCTGGGGCGTCGCCTGGGTTGCCCGTGTCCTTTCTTGGAGAACCTGGGTTCTAAGCCTAGCTCCGCTTCCTGTTTCGGCTTCCTGCTGATGTGTGTGTTCTGTGCTGAAGTGCTTGCTTCCCTCCACCCCCATAGGAGACCTGGATAGAGTTCTGGGCTCCTGGCTGTGGCCCGGCTCTGGCTGTTGCAGGCCTGTGGGGAGTGAGCCAGTACATGGGAGCTCTCATTGTCTGTCTGTCTCTCTCTCATGCCTTTTAAGTAAGAGGAAAATCAAGAGGCCTTTGAAGTGATTTTTCTGAATCGATTGCTCCCTGCCGATGCTTTGCCACGTGCCGGCAGCGTTCGCTTGCGCCTGTGGAGGGCGTCTTTTGTCCTTACAGTGTCCTTGTGTCCTTGGCTCACTGGCTGCGTGGTGCCTGCGTGGAGGTGCCGTCCCTCATGCCCATCGAGCACCCTTTCAGTGATGCTGTGTTTGCACGTCCTGCACACACTGTTGCGAGGCGTTTCTGCTCAGCTGTGCACGCCGTCTCCCTAGCACACATTCAGGTTTTGACACACTGCCCAGCATTTTATGAATGATGTCACCGCTTTGATTCCCTGCCAAACATCTCATCCAGTTAGCAGCGGATAAATATCCGAAGGGAGAGAGGCGAGGATGTGCTGGCGGTTGTTATACGCAAAGGGCTTCTGTGGGTCACAGAGGAGCTCTCTTCCTCCTCGTGGCTCACAATGCTACGAGAGCAGGTGCACAGAGGCCACTCCTGTGTGGGATCCGAGTACTGCGGGACTCAACCATGGCTGTTTCAGGGTCATCCTCTCTCCAGGATGCCTCACTCTCCGGGCACTCCCCTCCCCCAGCAGTGAGAGGGCAGGGAGCTCGCGAGACCTCATTCCACAGATTGGGAAAAGCAAGTGTGTTCCTGATGCTGGCTTTCCCAGCTTCCTGGGGCTCCTTGATGTTTAGTGGTTCTGAATGCACTTCCCAGGTTCAAGGTGCCGTACTGCATTTCAGTGTGCTGTGTGTAATGAGTGCCTGGTTTTGTTTTGGTGAGGGAGGGATATGTTGGGATGTGCCACAAGGGGACAGAGGTCTTAGCTGCAAAATTTCAGCAGTCGGTGTGGAGGAAGAGGAACCTGGGAGAGTCAGGGTGCACAGATGCTGCTGCTGCCTCAGCACCCTCACTGCCCTGGGGCTCTGCAGCAGAGCCTGCTGCGGCAGAAGGCCTGGTGAGTGGACACAGGCCTGCCTCACTGTTGAGCCCTTGCGGCAGTGACCCCAGACAGGCAGCTGGAAGCACTAAGCCTCTGCCGTGTGCTGTCTCTGCGGCAGATGTCACACCGTGTCCCTGGAAGTGTCCTTCTGCCTGTGACATTCTCTGTGTGTTGTTTTTAACAGTATCTGCTGAAAGTCAATGAAATCAAGATTAAAAAGGGAGTGGATCTGCTTCAGAATCTCATCAAATATTTCCACGCTCAGTGCAAGTAAGTTCTTTGATGGTATTTGTAATTTTTCCTCTCACAGGGAGTAGATCTGTTAAGATTGTGTCAAAGAAAATAAATGCTCAGGGCCTGGCATGATAGCTTAGTGGCTGAAGTCCCTGCATTGCTCACACTGGAATCCCATGTGGGCGCTGGTTCCTGTCCCAGCAGCCCTGCTTCCCATCCAGCTCCCTGCTTGTGGCCTGAGAAAGCAGTGAAAGACGGCCCAAAACCTGGGGATCCTGCACCCGCATGGGAGACCAGAACAGGCTCCTGACTCCTGACTTCAGATCAGCTCAGCTCCAAGCTTTTGTGGCCACTTGGGAAGTGAACCAGTAGATGGAAGATCTTTCTGTCTCTGCTCCTCTCTGTAACTCTGACTTTCCAATGAAAATAGCTAAATCTTAAGAAAGAAGAAAAAAACAAAAGAAAAGCTAAGCTTAAATCTACAGGGATGAGGTGCCAATGCATGCCGGGATGTGGATAGATCCTGACAAAAGGCCGCGTGAGAGACTGCCGCTTGGGGAAGGAGAAGGTGGGAAGTAGCTGCTGATGCATGCGGGGTTGCTTTTTGGGGTGATGAGTGTTCTGAGATCACATGCTGCTGGGATTGGATACAGCTTTTTGAGTGTACCAAAAATTAATGAAATTGCACACTTTAAAAGAATGACACTTTTTAAAAAAAGCATTTAATAAATTTGACCAACAGAGAAAGAAACCAGCCTTCCATTTGCTGGTTTACTTCCCAGGTGGCTGCAACAGTTAGGGTTTGGCCAGGCCAAAGCCAGGAGCCTGCGGTCCCTCTGGCCCTCCCACTGTTGGCCGGGGCCCAGGCCCTTGAGCCGTCTTTTGCTGCTTTCCCACAGGCAGGGAGCTGCAACAACTGGGACTCAAGCCAGTACTCCAATCTGGGATGCTGGTATTACAGATAGAGGTTTGACCTACTGGGCCACATCACTGGTTCCCCAGAGGGTAAAGCTTATAGTGTGAGGGTTATAGCTTGATTTTTAAAAACAAATATAAGTAGGCAGTATGTAAGTCTATAGTGGTGGGGCACCACTGTGGCAAAAAACAAGTAGACAGGAAATGTTTCATCTAGTGGTTGATTCCCCAAATGCCCGTGTCAGCCAGAGCTGGACTAAGTTGAAGCCAGGAGCCTGGACCTCCATCCAGGTCTCCCTTGTGGGTGTCTCCCATGTCATCTGCTGGTGACCTGGAACGCACTCTGAGGCGGGTGTGGGCGTTCCAGTGCACGTTCACTGTTCCACCAAATGCCCGCACCTGCTCACCTTGACTTTGCAGAGGAGCAAACCAGTTTTGTCCAGCACACAATACAATTCTTAGATGGTTTTTGCTTGTTGAATGAGAGCTGAGATGACGCGAATGCATTAACTTGATCCAAGTGGATGACCGTGCTGGGCCAGGGGAGGTGTGTGAGGAAGAGCAGGAATCCCTGCCACGGTCAGGACCACCTCAGGGACCAGCGTTGGCATCCCCGATGGGCATCACGTCCCAGCTGCTCCACTTCTGATCCAGCTCCCTGCTAGAGCACCTGGGAAAGCAGCAGGTGATGGCTCAAGTGCTGGACCTCTGCCCCAACGTGGGAGACCTGGGAGAAGCTACTGGCTGAGCCCTGGCTATTGAGGCCATTTGGGGAGTGAACCAACAAATGGAAGATCTTTCTCTAAGTTTGCCGCTTTTTATGTAACTCTCATTTCCAAATAAATTAATCTTTAGGGGGGGGAAAAAAGAGAACTGGAGTGTTCCGAAGTGTTCTAACATGCAGGACTGTTAAGAGTTGAAAGGAAGGATGTGGATGGAGATCTAGAGAGGGATTTTTTTCTCCTCTTTTGCTCCCTGCTGGATTCACCAGCAGGCAGAGCCCCAGCTCCCAGCACCCAGAGTGGACGTGGGTGTTGCTTGAGGGAGCTGCGGGCCTGCCAGGTCTGTAGAACAGATAGGAACAGAATGTTTCAGAAAGACAGCAGGTTGTAAGGTGAGGGTGGTGTACGCGAGCTAGGTGACAGCAGCACGAAGCTGGAAGCCTTGGAGGTGGGGACGGCCCAGCTGCCTGCTTAGAGGTTTTGGGTTTTTATCTGGTGACTGTGGACCATTTTACGCAAAGGACTCCCTGGAGTGTGTGCCAAGGCAGGGTGTCACATCCTTCCTGCTGTGGGCTTTAGGATCTTGGGGCACCATAAGTAGGGCAAGCTGCAGGTGAGTAGGCTGAGGAATTGTGGGGAAAGCTAGAGACGACTTCCTGGTACTGAGATGGAGCCAGGTAGGCCGGGAATGGATGCGAGCCTGGCTGGTGGCCACGACTCCCATGTCTTCTGGCTCCAGCACATGGGGCAGCGGCCCTGCTGTGTTCCCAGTAGTGACTGGTGCCCAGGGTAGAGGAGGCCCGGGATGGAGAACTGCCCAGTCACTGGGGAGAGCCCAGGGCACAGACTTTTCAAGCCGGCTTCTTGCTGGCAGACGCAGTACTTCTGCCTGGGTGATGAGCAGGCCAGGTCCATCAGCATTTATCCTGGGAACCCCGTGTGAGGCCGTTTAGGAAGTAGGCTGCTTCCTTGCTGATATTTGTAAGAAAAAGCTATTCTAGGATTTCCTTTTTTCCTCCCCTTTATTTGGCCCAAACTGATCGGTTGGGTAGCAACCGCCCAGCTGTGGAAAGTGAGTGAGCTGGCCTTTTATGGAATTGAGCTCAGGAACCTCGGGATGCAGCCATCTTCCTGGCCGCATTTTTGTACGTGGGTGTGTGGGGGGGTGGGTATGTCTGCCTACACTGCACTCTGCTCACCGCTCACTTTCGCACCTTTCATTTGCAACATGGAGCCCAGATTCATGGACGGGGTCATCAAGAGCTCTGAGCCAGGCCTGTGTCCACTCGTGGGAGTCTTGAGTGGTCAGGGCTCTGTGTCCTGGTGGGCACCACTTGCCTGCCCAGCCACACTCCACGCCCTCTCCTCTCTGTCACCTTGTGTGATGTGCGGGGCGGCTGTGTGTCATGTGCATGGTGGAGGGAGGGGGACTCAGCAGGACCTGCTTTCCGCTCTGTTTCACTTTCCACTTCAAGTGCTCCTGCAGGCAGAGTATGTCACATTCTTTGTCCTCTGTTTCCGTGTGAGGGCAGGGACTGCGTCGCTGCCAGCAGACCATGGGACAAGCCCATCCTGCACAGGGTGTGGAAGCAGGTGGGCTTCAGATCCTAAGTGTACATCCCAGGGGGGATGCGGCCTGCACGGCGGACAGGTTCTTGGCATGAATACCCGCTGGGATAGACGGGAACAGCGCTGCTCAGGGAACTTCAGACATGGAGTTGATGAAGTCAACTTGTTTGCCCCTGTGAGATGGAGGGATGGATCCAGGTAGATGTGGGAGGGGACCCCATGTCCTGGGATCCAGGGGAACCAGAAAGGTCTGAGAGTGGTGGGGCGGGCTCAGAAATGTTTGCTAACTAGAACCCGAGGTTGATGCGGTAGCATGGTTTGTGAAGGTCCATGACGCATGGAGGAGGAATTCCTGTACTCTTGCACGGGGCATGGTGCCAGGTGACAGCAGCCAGCTGCTCTGTCCCCTTGCTTTGCGGCTGCTCCTGCTGCCCAGGCTCGGGGTTCCTGACGTGATAGATCATTCCCCAGAGTCCACACCGGCCCAAGGGAGGAAGGCACACACGAGGATTAAAGACCGGAGGGAGGAGGCTTCCACTTAAATAGAGATGGCTAAGATCGGCCTGGCTGTGACAAAAACAAAATGCAAGTCTGATGCCCAAAATCCTCCTTTTTGTTTAAGTGCAGCAGTTGGGGTGAAGGCAGGAATGGCCTTGGTGGTGACAGGCTGCGCCCATGGTATGAGCTGAGCTGCAAGGTTCTGGAAGCGCTACCCAGGGGGCGTTTCTGCCTGCCTCACCCAGTGCCAGCTCTCTCGCCTTCTCTCCCCACCCCCTTCCAACCCATTTCACAAGAAGTGGAAATAATCTCACAAAGGAAAAGCGTAAATGAAGTGGAAGAAGTAGGTGTGTTCACGGCAAGCGGAAGAGCCCGGCTTCTCGCTCACTCTGCATCTGTTCCCTCTGTTCCCTCCGAGTTTCCTCTCTCTTTAGCAGCATCTTCCCCGTGCTGGCTGCCAAGCTGGGGGCGGGAGGTGGCACTCCTGCCCTAGCCATGGCAGCACATACCTGAGTAGAGCCTCGTAATGTGATACAGACGCTGTGCCAGGAAAGCAAACAGGTGACATTGAGGGGCTCAACGGTAAAATAAAAAATGATCTGGAGACGGGTCGACGTGTTGCACAGTAAAACCACCATGTGCAATGCCGCATCCCACATGCCACTGGTTCGAGTCCAGGCTGCTGCACTTATGATCCAGCTCCCTGCACTTGTGCACAGAGGTTCTGGACTCCTGACTTTGGAGTGACCTAGCCCCGGGCATTGGGGAGTTAGGCAGCAGGTGGTCGAGCTTGCAGCCTGTGTCTCTCCCTCCACCCCTTTCCATAATTCTGAAAACACAAATTAGCTGGAGATGGAGGTAAGAACTGCCTCTGGTGACCAGCTGTCGGGCTGCAGGGCCGGTTCCCACGGCACATTTGGTGTGGGATGTCTCCCAGGGCCATTTCGAGTGTGTAGGAAACAAATACCATCTCACAGTGTGCGTGTGGGACTCTGACCCCACAAACTGGCCCAGGCTGCTGCTCTTCCTTCTCCCTCCCGTCTCCCTCCCTTCACTCTGCACCCAGAGCACCCTGTGTGCCTGGCCGTGTGGTTGCTGCACCTGCCCTCTTAGAATGGGAGAATTGTATCTTAGCCATCGTGTTGATGAACACAGTAGGAGTTTCAAAACAAACCGCAGCAGTCTGCCAAAATACAGCGAAGAAGCCCCTTGTAGCAGGGCAGTCTGGGGTTGGCACGTGGCGAGGTGGCACAGCAGCTGAGCATGCCTGCATGTGGCAAGTCTGATTTGAGTCTGGGCTGCTTGGCTTTCTGTGCGGCTACCCGGGGCAGCAGCAGGTAGTTCCTTGCTTGGGGCCCCTGCCGCTCACGTGGGGATGCAGAGTGTGCCCCTGGCTCCAGCCCAGCCCAGTCCTGGTTCCGGTGGGTGTAGCTGGGGAGCAAACTGGCACCCGAAAGCTCCCTGTCTCTCTGCTTTTCAAATAAAATGAAAACTAAATGTTGAAAGGCTGAGAACGTAGGGGACCATGGGCTATCTCACCAAGAAGGCAGTAGGAAAGAGGAAGTGGGGCTCGGTGGGAGAAGCAGGGAGAATGCCAGGAGAAGCTGTGGGAGAGGAGCAGAGGTCGGGCCGGGGGCAGGGAAGTGGGGTGGTGGGTGTTCAGCGTAAATGAGCAGGCTAAGGCTGGAAGCCCAGGCAGACACCCTGGGTGTGGAAGAGCTTCGGGGCTTTATCCCACGCTCCTTCTTGGAGTGCAGCTGTGTGGCTGGCTGACTTGCTGAATCCCTTGCTACAAAAGACCGGGGCAGCAAAGAGATCAAAGCCGACGCCCCCCTTCCCCCACAGGCTGGGTTCCCATTGCTCTCTGCAGGTGGAACGCAGCCGGCTTTGGTCAGCTGGTCCTGTGGCTTTTCCAGAGCCTTCCCTCTCGGGGATCAGAGTCTTGCTGCTTACTCACTCCTGAAAGTGCCCTCCGCGTGCCGAGTGGGCTGGGAAGAGCAGCCACCGCGAGGCTCACCGCACTTGCTTGCTTGTGCGCCCCGTGTAGCTCCCTGTCCCCCTAGAAATGCCTGGCCGTTTTCCTGGGGAGAAGCCTTTTCTCCGTCTAACTGAATCGTTGCCTCCTTGATGACGGCTGAGGGCCCTTCAGCTTGTTCCTGGGGAGTGAGTGCGAGGGCGTTGACACGGTGCACGTTTTACTTCCTCGCATAGGTGCTAAGTTGTGTTCTTGGTGGCCGTTCTGGAGGCTGCCTCATGCAGTGCCTCTTTCTACCCCTAGTTTTTTCCAGGATGGACTGAAAGCTGTGGAAAGTCTCAAACCTTCCATTGAAACGCTGTCGACGGATCTCCACACGGTGAGTGGTCACCCCCACCTAGTGGTGTTGGAGCCATCTTTGTATACCACGAGCGTCTTCCGTTAAATGCCGTGCCTGTGTCTGGAAAGGAGTGGTGGGGGCGTGTCGTGCGGAGGGTTCGCCAGTGAGGGTGGCGCTTGTTGCATCACCTGGCAGTGCCCAGGGAACTCCAGTGCCTGGCTGAGACTCTCTCCTCATCATCTCTGCCTCCCTAGATCAAGCAGGCCCAGGACGAAGAGAGGCGGCAGCTGATGCAGCTCCGAGACATCTTGAAGTCGGCCCTGCAGGTGGAGCAGAAGGAGGTGAGGAGATTGACTTTGGGACAGTCCCTGCTGTGTGTGCAGGTGGCTCGCCCGCTGTCCCCGAGGCTGCAGCGGCTCATGTGGTGATGCTGAGCCTGCCCGTTCAGTTCCGGGTGAATACAGTCATCTCAGACACACACTTTCATGGGGACAGCGCTAGCTCCAGCCTGGCCTGGTCCTGCTGTGCTCTGGGGGTCCCTGAGGCGGTGGTGCCGCTGATGCTGGGCTGGGGCCTCCATGGCTTCCCCACCCTGCTCAGGGTGGATGTGTCCCTGTGAGTCCAGCCCCGAGAGTGTCCGCACGCCATGTGCAGGTGGCCTTCCTCACGCAGACACGTGCTGGGCCTCATCATGCTCACACGCTGACTGCACTAACACATCAGGAGTGGTGACTTGTGATGTGAAGGTTTTGTTTAACAAAGAAACATGGTAAGCTGTACATTTCAAACGTGGTTTCACATGTCCCCTACACTGATTTAATAGAATACCACTTCCTTACTTGTTAGAGGGATGTGTTTGAACATGCAACTGGAAGAGTTGAGATAAATGACTGGGCTGCCCGGCAGAATGTCCAGTTCGTTGCTAGCAGCCACCTGTGCTGTGTGGCTCCCAAGTTCTTGTTCTATAACTGAATATTGTTTTTTTCTCCCCAAATGCCTTTACCTTTGGTGACCGAAGTCTAGGAGAGTAAGTAGTTCAGTATTTTCATAAATCGGAGAATTCTGCATGTATCCATGAAGTTGATGTACTCATTATGTGTGTGTGATAGTAGCATTTTTCGTGTTGACCCATCCTCATTTGTTGCAGTAGATCTGATTAGAGGTAAAGCGCTTAGAGGCACAGATATGTTAGTAAAAGCGACATTTCCTGAGTTTACTGTCTACACACTTTGGCTATGGCTCCTGGTGAAGAGGAGGCAGCCTGACCCCCACATGGCTGGACTCCACTGAGCGGCGTGTCCGACCGAGGACCCTCCCTTGGGGGAGCCGCCTCCACGCACCCCAGCCTCCGCTGTTGAGAGCAGCCCTCTGCCCTCTGTCCAGCCTCCTCCCTGGAGAGTGGGGTGTCCTCTTGGAGGCCTCAGGCATCACCGGGTCAGCTCAGAGCGCGACCAGCAGAGGGTCATGCACAGGGCCAAGGCATTACCCTTGACTCTGGGCCTCCTTCTCAGCCTACAGAGCATGGACAGGTCCCGGTGCTCTGATGTTCCCAGATGGATGTAAGCACAAAAAAGGGGCTGGGGAGTGCAAGCTTGGAGTGCAGAGAACATAGGGGCCTGGCTGTCATGAAAGCTGGGCGTTTGGGGTGGCAGGCTTGAGTCTGTTCTCTCTGGGGCCCAGTGCAGAGGCCAAGCTTGTTTTGCACAGAATCAGGAGTTTTGGAAAGACAACCTCCGTTCAGCTTCGCTCACCTGTGGGAAGCATGAACTGTGTGGTGCCAACCAGAAGTGCCTCTTGCTTTGTCGTTGTGGCTTTGTTGCTGGGCTCCACTGTGTCTGAGCCGCAGTTGGCTCAGTCGGTCCTCGTCGACTCTCCCCTCGTGCCCAGCAGACTCCTGCCAAGACCCGGCTCTGCCCCCCGCCCCAGCTGATGTCATTTCTGTGTCTTGCACTTTGTGTTGGTTTCTGGGAACGGTATCCAGCCAAAAGGGCACCCTGGGCACAGGTGCCAGGAAGAAGTCAGTGTGAACTGGCTTGGTTTTACGCGGTGTGAAGTCACGTCTCCATCAGGCTGCCTTCTGTGTCCCTCTAACGGACACGGGAAATGGGCCCTCGGGGCTCTTGCCCCTGGCCTTCGGTGTTGTCCAAGACTCGGGCAGCTGGGGATGCTGGGTGCTTTATTCAGGGTCGTAGGAATTCTGGCTGTGACCATGTGATGTCAGTGCCTGAAGATGAGGTCACGTGGCCTGGTGGGCTGGCTGAGCCACTGCTGTTCACTTCCTTGCTGGTGGGGACTGCCAGCTGCTCTCCTCCGTATGGCCCTGGCTGCTGTGATTGGGATGTGGGCCGGGCCGTTAGGGTCCCAGGACACCTCTCCCCTGCAAGACACCTTTCCTGTTTTGTTCCTGATGTTTTCTGTTCTCCTTCTCTCAAGGGGATGCTGTTTGCTTCAAGAATTGTGCTGTGACTACTTCACGATGCAGCCTAGTGCTTGGGCTTCGGGGTCAGCCTCCCCAGTCCCGCTGGGTCTGTGCGTCTCGCTGAGACGCTGCCAGGATGGGTGGCTAAAGCTGCCCCTTGCAGGCATGCCTACAGCCGTCACTGATGCAGAGACCTCAGACTGCGGGCTGGGGTCGGGGAGGGGATTGTGCGCAGGGAGCACGGGGAGTGCTCCATCCTGCAGTTGGCAGATGTTTAGCCGGGCTTCCATCTCCCCAAGTGTCCCCGTCTGCGGGATGTGGTTGACGGTGTGTGGTGTCTAGGCAGCAGATCTCCATCCCGGCCATGGTCGCTTCTGACCCTGACATTTCCAGTCTGGGTTTGTCCTTTTTGTCATACCTGAGTCTGGCCTCTGCTGGGGGCCGCTTCCCTGCTTCCCCCAACCCTGAGCTCCTGGGGGTCCTGCCCTGGGGAGATTGGCTCATGGAGTCCCACATGTACCTGCTCTCTTGTTGCTGGTCACCCCCAGCCAGCGAACACTCTACAGCGCCTGGGAGAGAGATACAGGTGTGAATGGTTGTGGTCGTGGATCAGGCAGTGAGTTCTCACATGGCTTCAAAGGTGCAGATGATAAAGTAACCCATAGCTCGAGCGGACCTTATCACAACTAGAAAAACTTGTGCTTCTAAAGTCTTTCACGCTGTCAGGACCGCAGGGAGCTCCGGGAGCCCTTGGAGGAAGGCTGCCCTGGGCATCAGGCCACCTGCCCCTAGTCTGAGCAACAGTCCTGGGTAGTGGCCATGGCTCTCACGTACCATTTCCCTCACCTCCAGCACCTCCATGCCTGTTCCCTGCCACTGCTCCCCACCTGTCTCTCCCTGGGATTTTCTTCTCTGCACTCTGGCTCTTGAGAGCACTTGTTCCCCACTTGCATCATGCTAACTTGCAGGCCTGAGTTTCTCTGGTCCAAGCATGGACAGAGCATCCCTCAGGGGACTCAGCTGCCTAATGGCACTGGGGACGCTGGTCCTGGACTCTCAGGAGCTCCCCCTGCAAGGACAGTGTGAAGCACAGGGAGGAGCAGGGATGGCAGGCTGGGAGGCAGAAGCTGCTCGTCACTTGCTCTCATTGGTTCTGTGTTCTGTCCGTCATCAGTGAGCTGGGCCGAGTTCTCAGTAAGCAAGTAGCCTTCAGCCGTGGCCTGCTTGACCATGAATGGCTGGTTCATGTCTTCTTTCTGCTTGCTTCTGTCCAGTCTGCCAGGATCTCCAATGATGGCCCTGGCAGCCCTGCTCCTTTCTGCCACGATAAACTCCAGTGGAGCACCTGTTGAAGGGTAGACACTGGCCAGGACCTTGGGGAGCCTGGGGACTCCTCGTTGGTCCCTGCCCTGAGAAGCTCCCGGGGTGGAGTGTGCTGACCACAGTGTCTGCCACCTGGGTGCTCTGCCTTGGGAATGGGGCTCCTGCTGGTCCAGGCTGGGTGCGGCTGGGCTCAGTGCATCCCCCACCCCCGAGGTTGACACATGGGGATGGGTGAACTACTGTGTACCAGCCAGTCCTTGCCACCTGGGCTGTGCTCCTGTGTGTCCAGCAAGGAGCCTGGGGTAGAGGCAGGTAACAGACAGCTTCCAGTGTTTGCCTTAAGTCTTGGCATTTCCACCCGATCATGTCCCTTCACGTTCCTTCCTGGGGGATGGTTGTGCTTGTTATTCCCAGGGCTCCGTGCTGTGCTCAGGGACTCAAGGCTCTTGCTGGTTTCTCTTCCTGAGTTCCTGTTTATGAATGAGCCTGTGTCCCTTATTGGAGGATGACGAGACAGGAAAAAAAATCTCTAATTTTTTTTAAAGTCATATGTTTCTTGTTTCTTTTGTGTATTATTTTACCAAAAAAAAAAAAAAGGCTAGCTGTGGGCAGGGCTAAAAGCAGCATCTTGCCCATCTTTCAGGACTCACAACTCCGCCAGAGCTCGGCCTACAGTCTGCATCAGCCGCAGGGCAACAAGGAGCATGGCACGGAGCGCAGTGGCAGCCTCTACAAGAAGAGTGACGGGTGGGTACACGCTGCCACGCTGGCGGGATACACGGCCGGTGGCCGCGGGCTCCCTGGGGTCTGAATAACCCACACTGCTTTGCCCACTCACCCATCAGGATCCGGAAGGTGTGGCAGAAGAGGAAGTGCTCCGTGAAGAACGGCTTTCTGACTATTTCCCACGGGACTGTGAGTATCCGCCCTCGCACCTCTGCTGGGGTCCAGTCAAGGTCAAGCACGGGGGCTGGGTTTGCTGGGCCCTCCCACAAGGCTGTGGCTCAGTATGCAGCCCTCAGGGACAGCCCTTCTCGACACTGATGCGGGAGGAGGTGGAGGACCACCCTACTTGCAGCCAAGACTGTGTTCCACTGGAGTCTGGAACTCTAAGGAAACTTCACAATAGCACTGAAAGCTAAGTTTATTTTGGTACAAAAAGTTTTGAAAACCAGGCATGTATGTGCAGGGGATCCTTTTTGGGTTTAGTTTTGTTTTAAGATTTATTTATTTTTACTTGAAAGAGTTAGCGGCCCGGCGCAGTAGCCTAGTGGCCAAAGTCCTTTCCTTGCCTACACTGGGATCCTATATGGGTGCCAGTTCTAATCCTGGTGGCCATGCTTCCCATCCAGTTCCCTGCTTGTGTCCTGGGAAAGCAGTCGAGGATGGCCCAAAACCTTGGACCTTGCACCCACGTGAGAGACCCAGAAGAGGCTCTGGGCTCCTGGCTTTGGATCAGCTCAGCTCCAGCGATTATGGCCACTTGGGGAGTGAGTCAGTGGATGGAAGATCTTCCTGTCTGTCTCTCCTCTTAATAAATCTGAGCTTCCAATAAAAATACAATAATAAAAAAAAGGAAGTTAGAGCTAGAAACATCTTTTATCCAGTGCTCTCTCCCCAAATGACCACAATAACCAGAGCTGAGCTGATCCAAAGGACCCTTCTCTGAGTCTCCCACATAGGTGCAAGGCCCTGATGACTTGGGCCATGCCCCACTGCCTTCCCATGTCATTAGCAGGTAGTTGGATGGGGACTTGAACCGGCACCCATGGGGGTGAAGGATTAATTTGCCACCCCGCCACGCTGGCCCCTGTAAGATCCCTTTGTATTCTCTGTGATTCATACAGCTGTGGGTCTGGATACCTGTTGTAACTCGAGTGACTGCCTCGGTGTTGAACCTGTCATAACCAACACCTTCACCTCATGCTCCTATGGCTCTTGTGCTCGAGGGTCCCCCAAGGCCTGGAGCCTCCGCAGGAGCCCCTGGGTGGGCCTGCCTTCCCGGTGGGTGAGAGTGGGCCTACCATGTGTGGCTGCAGGCACTTCCTATCCGCTAGCTTCAGCTCCACACACAGCGAGGCTCTGTGTTCTGGGATGCCGGATGGTCGCTGTTTGCTGGAAGGAACGGTTCCAGCTGCTCTGGGAAGGCATTGGCTCAGCTTGCTGCGCGACCTGCGTGTATGGGACATGCACTACATGTGCACGACTTCTCTTCAGGGAGTTGCTACTTGCAGATACATCCCACAGCCCTAACATTCAGCTGCCGTTGCTTGCCAGCCTGGGAGGTGGCTCTGTCTGGGCCACTGCCCACTGCCCTGTGGGAAGCTAAGAAGGTTAGGTGTGCAGCCCTGTGTTCAGTGTCAAGTCTTCTCCTTCTTGTTGCCTCTGTTGCTGTACATACTCCTGTAATCAGAGTCCTGAAGACCCCTCCCCAAGGCTACAGCCACAGAACCAGTGCTCCCAGTGGGGTGATGGGAGTTCATCTAAACCAGAGGAGTGTTCACTGGTGCCTTTTTTTTCGGCTCTGTTTTATTTGATCTATCTCTCTTGCCAGCAGCTGGTTGATTGTGGGGGAAAACTGGGCGTATTTCTGAAGGTCTGACTGAGTGGACTCGGGGAAGGGCATGATGTGTGGCTGCACTGTTAGGAAAAACTTTTCTGGGATTAGGTATCCCCCAGACTGAGATGGGGACTTCTGGATTTGCTCCAGGGTGGGGATATTCCTAATGGATTCATTGAGAAGCACTTTCCCCACCAGCTGGGGCACTGGATGACCTCTGGAGCGGGGAAGAAGGGGTCCTTGGGATGAAGTAGTTTTCATTAGGCTCTGTCTGCCAGACTCCTGGTGTGGTCACACCGCCACGGCCAGGGCACTGAGCTAGTGGAAACAGACATTCACCAGTTACTACACAATCCGAAGGTAAGAGGGTGCTTGTTCAGAGGGAATCTGCACTGATAAAACTTGATAGGTTGAGAGGGGAGAGCCCAGTGCCAACTAAATTGTATCAAAAAATAAGAGAGAGAGAGAAACTCAATAGGCTGAAACATAAGAGAATGCCATGACTGAAAAGGGTAGATCCCTGTGGCCAAGGCTAGAGGCATCCCCTCCGCCCAGTGTCTCCTGAGTTTGCCACGGAACCAGAGCTTCTGAAACGGGGCTCTCGGGGAATGTCGATCTTTATGAACTGGATAAAGTCACCCTGTAGCTGAATTACGTCATGGCGTTGTTTCTCCAAAGCTGTACCTGGGAGTGAATTTCATTGATAGGCTTTTCTTCAAAACATTTTCCCTTCAGTTTTGCAGTTAACTGATTACTTACTCTGAATGAACAAGCAGCGATGTGAGATCAGAACGGCTGAGACCCGCTGGAGGCTGACAGCTTATGTCTTGTGCTCTCCCCCTCTTTTAAAAAAGATTTATTTATTTGAAAGTCAGAGGGAGAGACACAGAGATGTTTCCGTTCACTGGTTACTCTCCAAACGGGCACAGCCGCACAGTGACTGGGGCTGGGCTAGGCCGAAGGCAAGAATTCCATCCAGGGGGTCCAAGCCCTCGCGCCAACCTCTGCTGCTTTCCCAGGCGCATTAGCAGGTTTTTGGATCAGAAATGGAGCTCACGTGCTTTGAACTGGTGTCCTTATGAGATGCCAGCACCTCAGACAGCAGCTGCACCCGGTAGGCTACACCACCAGTCCTTTCTGGACCTTTTCTTACACTTGCTAGTTTTTAGTGTGTAGCCACGCTTATACCATTACAGTTCTTCTGTGTTCAGATAGACACAGAATGTCTTTCTGTTTTTTGTTAGTGGAGCACATGTACTGTGCAGTAAGAAATCCATCTTGGGGCGTGGCTTCCCCATCAGGAACAAATAGCTCTCCCCATATCACGGGGGAATGGAAGCACTGAACCCTGGACGTGGGGCAGGAGAAAGTGTGGTCGTAATTCAAGTTGCTGTTCTTTGCTGCTCTTCAGCAGAAGTCCAGATAGCTATTTTACTTCCACGGATACCATGTGAAGGACATGGAAAATATTGCTAGGGTGCTTGAGCCCTGGAACCAGACTGGCCTGCCCACCCTCACTGCTCCCCACCACTGCATGGGTACAGCAGTCGTCAGGTCATTTAGTCCATAGCTGTAAAATTGGAGTGGTTCCTACCAAGAGAGAAGATGGGATGATGATTTATTTCCTGGAAAATGTTTAGCATGGCACCTTTTCTAAGCATGTGGCAGCAGTGGCTAGGTGACTAGAGCTCCCATTGTTCTCATCTGCTTGTCCATGAAAGGCGCATCTGTATTTATCGCTGTGCATTCTTCCTCTGATTGCTCCTGGGTCTTAGCGCTCAGTGCACACAAGCAGCCCTAAGCAGCGCACATTTCCAGTGTGTGCACTAAGGGTGCTGCCAGAACAGACACCCTCCAGCGCCCATTGACCCGTGTTAAAGTGCTGGGTTGCTTGTCACAGTAGAAACGTGTCACTTGAACCAGTCATAATCCTATTGGTAAAGATCCAAAATTGGCAGTACTTTCACTTGGAACGTTCCGGGTTCCCAGTTTCCTGGTGCTGGTTTCTGAGGATTTCTGTTGGATGTCTACAGAGGGTATCGGATGACTTATGTAGGTGAGGCTGGGATCGGAGAGGTACACCCTGATAATCCAGCTTCCACACTCCAGACTTTTTTTATCCATCCCAGGTCCTCTCTGCTGCAGTTTAAGGGAGGCTAGCTTCCACGGCCACCCAGGCTTTGTGGAGTTACTGGACTGGATCTGCTAGGTCTATAAGCACTTGGGTCTGTCCAGTTGTAGATACACAGCTGTGTAAATCTAGGTTAACCACACCCTCCCCATCTAAGAATTTTAATTTGAAGCAACTGATTGGTAGATAAAGGAAGTTGGGAACAAAAAAAGTAGACCTTTATTTAAGATGTTCATTTTTAAGCTTTTTATTGGTATGTATATTTATTGGAAGGGCAGAAAGAGGGCAGTGTTAATTCACTCTGCATATGTCTATTGGGGCTGGGCCAGGGCAAAGCCAGAACTTGGGAACTCAATCTGGGTCTCTCAGCTGAGTGGCAAGGATCTGACTGCTGCCTCCTGTACGGCAAAGGCTGGTTAGCAAGTGGAGGCAGTGCTTAAATCTAGGCACACTGCTACGGGCTGTGGGCATGCAATGGGGTCTTAGCCACTGCACCAAACGCCACCTACCCCAAGATATTCTTTTTATTTTTTAAAAAAGATTTATATATTTTTTATTGCAAAGTCAGATATATACAGAGAAGAGGAGAGATAGAGAGGAAGATCTTCTGGCCGTAGATTCACTCCCCATGTGACTGCAGTGGTTGGAGCTGAGCTGATCTGAAGCCAGGAGCTGGAGCCTCCTCTAGGTCTCCCACGTAAATGCAGGGTCCCAAGGCTTTGGGCCATCCTTCACTGTTTTCCCAGCCCACAAGCAGGGAGCTGGATGGGAAGTGGAACTGCCAGGATTAGAACCGACATCCAATGTAGGATCTGAGTGTGTTCAAGGCAAGGACTTTAGCTGCTAGGCCATGGCGCTGGGCCCGGCCTTTTTTTTTTTTTTTTAATGCACTTTTGATGGCGTGTGAGGTGTTTTGATCTCTTGTGGAGGTGAATAGGGATGGAGGTTATATACACACGAGAAGTGTGTTTTACTAGAAAGTCAGGGACTGTCCTGGTTGGCATTAAGGGTGGTTAGTGTGTCATCACTGCACATAGTAGGAAAAACGACTTCCCTGCCATCTTTGTCCTGTGACATGACTTCCGCTGGAAGTGAGGTTTACGTTCAGAGAAACACTTGATCAGACCACAGAGGCTGACTATAGATACCCACTTCTTAAAGAAATAAATAAATAAAAGCTGTAGTAACTGTTGTGTGTTCACCATAAGTGAGGAGCTAGAGATGGTTATGGTAGATGCGACCGGACATTGTGCAGTGCGCTGTCTGTAGCAACATCACAAAGTACTCTGTCATTTTGTACAATTTTTATGTGCCAGTTAATAACCAAGTACAAACAGTACCAGTAGCTGAGTGGGTGCCCAGGCCCCCAGGAAGCTCTCTGAGCCGCCAGGAGGAGGCAGAGTGAGGGCTTGGCTTGAGCTGCAGGGAGTCCACTGTCTGGGGCCTCCAACTTGGCACCATGGGTCCCGCTGTGCAGACCGCAGAGTGCTCTGCCAGCCGAGGGCCCAGGGCGCAGGATGCCCGCCTCTGGCCCCACTGTGTGCCAGGAGCGGTACAGCAGCCGTTTGCTTCCTTCCCAGCCACCCCCTTTCTGTGTGTTTTCGAACAGGCTAACCGGCCTCCTGCCAAGCTCAACCTCTTGACCTGCCAAGTGAAGACCAACCCGGAGGAGAAGAAATGCTTCGACCTGATCTCACGTGAGGCTCCTGCCAAACCTAGACCCCGCTGTGACTCTGCTTCTCTAGCATCGGTCCAGACGCTGCGTGGAGGGGTGCCCTTCAGCCAGAGGTCACGCGTGCCGGGGCTAGCAGAGGGCCAGCCCAGGCACTCGCAGGCCCGTGGCCCTCAGCTTTCCTGTTTGTACCAGATAAGCCTTCCAACCTCTAATCTCAGAGACACACAGGAAGGACCATGCTGTTGTCCAAGGTGTCTCCACTCCCAGTTAGGAATGCTGGCAGCCCACGTGACTGGGTGCTTAGGGGAGCCTGGAGCTTTAGTGCCCAAATGCACTTCCGCCAGCTCAGCCTCCACCTCTCCGCTTTGCCGTTCCCAGCATAAACTGCAGAATCCCCTCAGAACCATCTAAACTCAGACCCTTTGCCTGGGATGTCTGCCTTAATTAGCTTTTTGTCCTTGGGGAACCAAGCAGCAGCTGTTGGGAGTGAAGGCCCAGGCGCCCCCATTTGGTGGGTCTGAGCATTGCCCTCGAGGTGGAAGGCGGGGAGGGGAGGGGCGGGCATCTTCCTTGATCTTACTTGCCTCAGCACCTGCCTGTTGTCATGGTTTTCTTGAGTGGTCGCTGACTCCCGCCCCTGAGAGTTGTTAGTTATGGGGTGGCCTGGTGGCACGGGTGCGTCAGCTTGTTCCTCCCACCTCAGTGCATGGTGATGTCCCCTCGGCCCCACACGCACAGCTTGGTGCCTGTTCCTCTGTCCTGTGGGCTCTAGCCTGGTTGGGAAGCTACAAGGCCACTTTTCACTGCTTCAGTCTCATGATGTCCCAGTTTCCTGTACCCCTTCTCAGCCAGGCTTGCTGTCAGCTCCTTCATGGAAGGGGATGTGAAACTCTTTAACTGACAAGTGGTATTGAAGATCAGAGTAAGCTCCAGGGAGATGTGAAGCCGGGGGTGGGGTGAAGGAGTAAGGGTGGGACTGCCAGGGCAGCTGGTGGGTGTGTTCCAGCTTCTGAGGTTATGACCCATGGTGAGCCCAGTGTCACCCTCAGAGTGCCCCACAGCCAGGAATTCCAGCTCACCCCGCAAGGCGGGGCTTGGTCACCTCTAGTCCCTGCAGGAGGACCTGGCTTGGTGCCACCTGTGCAGGGCCTCCCTGACCCTCTACCTCCCTGACAGTCAGACCCCAGGGACTGCTGCTACTGGTACACCCGGCTCAGACTGTGGGTCCCTTTGACGTGGGAGAAATTGGTCACATATGGGGGCTGTGGCAAGTAAATATTTGCCAAGACTCCATCTGTGCCTTAACTGCAACCTGACGCATAGCAGGATATCTCCCTTCCGGAAGGACTGCAAACTGTGCCATCCAGGGGCTCACTGAGCCTGGTCCCAGGCAGTTGCTGGGCGCCACTGTCATCTTGCAAAGAAAGGGCTTCTCCAGGGGAGAGGCCATCCCAGCTCACACACTCAGAAGCACTAATTTCTTGAGTGATCTGGGTTTTCAGATTTTCAGAAGCAGCGCTCAAGGGGATATCAGCAGAGAGAATGCTTTGTGCAGCACAGTGCGGTGTAGCTTTGGGGTGCTGTAGAGATGCCCAGAAGCCAGGCAGATGCCATCGGGGGGGCCACCACCTGACGGTGAGAGTCTAGTGTGAGCAGGGTTCCCTGCAGGGCACTTGGGGTCAGTGTCTGCCGTCCTGACTTGGGACCGGCTGCCTCGCCCCCTTCACATCCTCTTCCTCTTCAGCTGGACTAGTGGGACGACAGTGATGGCCCAGATCTGAGTCGCCCCTTGTGGCTGATCCTTGCTGGGCCACGCCATCTTGGAATCTGCCCAGAGAGCCAGCAGAGAAGCAGGCTGCCCGCTACCTTCAGCTGTTTCCTGCAAGTTCCTCTTTGTCCCCTCTTTGTTCCCAAGGTGGGGATTTCCTGTTCTGATCCACAGCTCAGTGGGCACGGGCTTCTCGGGGAGGGTGGGCTTTGTCCAACCTTGGGACTTCAGACTGACTCACCCATCCACCCAGACTGAAGGGGGCTTGGCCGACTGGCTGAGATGGGGTAACAGAGGACCGCGGGGTGAGCAGGCCACTCCCCTGAGCAGAATGAACGCAAAGGGACTTGGTAACTCTCCATGTGGCTTGTTCCTGGCTGGTCAGGGCCAGAACCTCAGCTGCAGGCAGCCCTGCCAGGTGCCAGCACAGTGGAGGTCCAGCTCTCCACTCCGTGCCCTCTTACTTTGCTGGAAGCTGTCCTGTGATCTGGGTATCTCCAGAGAGCGGGTGGGAGGGTGGTTCTTTCTTGGAGATGTCCTCAGAGCCGCACTTCCAGATTCTCCAGTTGAGGCAGAACTGGCCGGAGGAAGTGGCTGCCTGCACATCTCCGCCAGCTCTGGCCAGCAGGAAGTTCAGTGTTAGATCCAGGGTGCTGGCATTCCCCACGCCCAGCTAACTTCCAGGAGCCCCAAGTCTACCCTCTTCGTAGACTAACCACCTGGCCCAGGGTGCTTGGTAACACTAACCAACCTCTGCCAGGTCCCCAGCCCAGTCCCTAGGAGCAGGAGGAAAGGTGCTGCTCTTCCACTGCACACCCCAGAGTGGCTCAGCCCTGGCACTGGACTCAGAGTCAGGTTCATGCTTCTCGTAAGCCTTATCCTGCAGATGTGTGCAGTTCTCCATGTGCGTGCTTTCCTGCTCTGTGGAGCTGGCTGGTATCCCACGCTGCCCCTGATTGTTGACCTCGACCCCTGTTACCTTCCAGGACCCTGTCACTTTGAAGAATGTCCACCCAGTCTTTCATTAAATGTTTCCCAGTTGTTGTTGTTGTTTTTAAGATTTTTGTATTTTTTAATTTGAAAGGCAGAATTACGGAAGCTCTTTCATCTGTTGATCCACTCCCCAAGTGGTCACAATGAACAGAACTGGGCGAGGAGCCTGGAACTGCCTCTGGGTCTCCTACATGGGTACAGGGACTCAAGCACTTGGCTGTTATCAGAAAGTTGGATTAGAAGGGGCGCATCCAAGACTTGAACCTGCACTCATATGGGATATTGACACCTCAGGCGGAGTCTTAGCGTACTGCGCCACAACTCCAGCACCCTGTTTTGATCATTGGGCTGAGGCCACCTGCGTTTGGCGGAACAGCACAGAAGTTGTGCCACCCACACCTCCCTCTGCACACAGGCCAGCAGTGGCTGGGGATTCATAGTTTTGCATTAGACCATTATTTAGAGACAGTCCCTTGTTTCTGCTGTATTTGTGAAATAAGCCTCCCTAAGCATGTGATTCTCAAGTTCCTCACGCTCATCTTTTTCTAAGGAAGCCAGGGAACCTCTTGAGGTTTTAGGAAAGGTTTTTAGTCTTCCCAGGGTTTGTCACCTTTTCGGGGGGGGGGGGTGCAGCTGATAGCTAAATGACATTCCTGAGAGGGTAGTGATACATTTCAACCCATAGCCTCAGTGTTTTGGAAACTGTGCCCTCTAGACTGAGACTGGGAGCTGGGCAGATTTGCTCATTTGCATCAGAAAACCCTGGTTAACACAGCGGTAGGCAGCCACTTGATTGTATGCAGATGGCTCATTTCCCAGCTGAGCATTGAGGTGGTGCCTGAGGAAAATTAGAAGCGATTTTGTCTGGCCTGGCAACTGAAGAGTGTCTCTTTCTGTGCAGACGACAGGACGTACCACTTCCAGGCCGAAGACGAGCAGGAGTGTCAGATGTGAGTCCCTCGGAAGGGAAGGTGGCCCTGGCCTGGCCTGGTGGCGGGTGGGACGCGGCAGTTGGCAACAGATTAACCCCGCACCACTGTCGCCCGCTAGCTGGATGTCCGTGCTGCAGAACAGCAAAGAGGAGGCGCTCAACAACGCGTTCAAGGGTGACGACAGCGCGGGGGAGAACAACATCGTGCAGGAGCTGACCAAGGAGATCATCTCCGAGGTCCGCAGAATGCCGGGCAACGACGTGTGCTGTGACTGCGGGGCGCCAGGTGACGCGCGGCTCCCACGCGCCCCGCCCCACGCACCCCACGCACCCCTCTTCCCGCGCACCCACCCCTCGCTTCTCACTGTGGCTCAGACGCAAAACGCAACTCAGCCTCAGCCCACCCCATGACACGAAAGCTTAATGAGCTGCCCGACGGCCACGGGGCCTCCAGCCTGATATTGCTGAAGAAATTCCAGGGTTTGAGACATGGGAAGTGAGGGGCACAGCCTGCTCCGGCCAGCGTTCTGCTGTCCTGTCTCTGCCCTCCAGCTCTGCAGGACGAGGCACAGCCGCGTGAGGCGTCTTGCTCTCTGAGATGAGTGCTCATGTTTGTATTCTGGTAAAGCTCTTCAGGGCTTTCTTTATCTGAACAACAACAACAACGTTTTTATTTATTTGAAAGACAAAGTGACAGAGTTAGAGAAAGGGCACACGTTGGTTCCCTTCCCAAGTGACGTCTGAGGCTCAGGCTAGACCGAGCTGGAGCTCCGTCTAGGTCTCCCACGTGGACAGCAGGTCTCCCAGGATGTGGTCCAGCTTCCCCTGCTCTCCCGGGCATGTTGAGCAGCAGCTGGGACTCACCCCTGCTCCTTGATATGGGATTCTGGCCTTGCAGGCAGCAGCCGCCCCCAGTGGCGTCGTTGTTAAACTAGTGTCTCAGGCTTAAGGAGTGCCGGTGCTCTAAGTAGGGTGCAGTGGAAAGCCGCACAACAGGAAGATGGAGAATTGGCTGAAGTGGTCAGTTAACCTCTTCATCCCGCTGATGCTATGGCAGGTTTTTAAAAAAATTGGGTGAGCCATAGACTCTGGTTACCCTGGAGGCTGTACTTGATCTTGGATTCTTCCAGCCATGTGTTCTGACATAGAGCAGGATGACACATCCTGCCTTTCTTGTACGTGGAGGAAGGCACTGAAGCTGTGTGCATTGTTGGTGGGAAAGGGTGAGGTGACGTGGCTGATGGGTGTGGCAGGGAGTCCTACCCTGGTCACACACACAAGCACAGAGGCCCAGAAGTCTCCCAACGTGGGTAAAGTGTTTTCTAATTTGAACATCTTAAAAAATATATATTTTTATTACAAAGGCAAATATACAGAGAGGAAGATCTTCCCTCTGTAGATTCACTCCCCAAGTGGCTGCAACGGCAAGAGCTGAGCCAATAAAACCAGGAGCCAGGAACTCTTCCAGGTCTCCCACACGGGGCGCAGGGTCCCAAGGCTTTGGGCCATTCTTGACTGCTTTCCCAGGCCACAAGCAGGGAGCTGGATGGGAAGTGGAGCTGCCAGGATTAGAACTGGTGCCCATATGGGATCCCGGCACGTTCAAGGTGAGGATTTTTACTGCTAGGCCACAGCACCGGGCCCTAGCCTTTAGCATTTTAAAATACCTTGGCAATGCCTTCGCAACCCAGGCTGTGACTGCAGCTCTGAAGAATCCTGTAGAGAGGCACTCAAGTTCATCTTTGTTTAATTCCCGATGTTTAGTAGCCTCTGCTTTTATCTGTCTGGCATTCTTGGAGTCTGGGTGTGTGCAGGGCACACGAAGGAGGACCCTTCAATGAGGGAGGCAGTGTGCTCTGAGCCCCTGTCGGCCTCGCGCCCATCAGCAGACTTGATGTGAGCTTGGAAGCAGCCCGGGCTACGTGTTGGGTTAAAGACCCTTGCCCTGAGTTGTGACTCAGGGAATCTGGCTCTGATGCTCACTGCTCTGCTTTCTGTGCAGCTCCCTGCTGATGTGCCTGGGAGAGCGGTGAAATTTGACCCGAGTGCTGGAGCTCCCTGCCATCCCCATGGGAGACCTGGGCAGAGTTCCTGACTGTTGGCTTGGGCACAACAGCTCTGACTATTGGGGTCATTGGGGGAGTGAACCTGTCAGTGGCGGATCTCTGGCTCTCTCTCTGCCTCTAACAGTAAGGAAGTGGGTAAGTGAGTAGGTCAACCCATCACTTCATCCATCTTTTTTTTTTAAAAAAGATTTATTTTTATTATTTTTTTATTGGAAAGGCGGATATACAGAGAGGAGAGACAGAGAGGAAGATCTTCCATCCGATGATTCACTCCCCAAGTGAGCGCAACGGCCGATGCTATGCCCATCCGAAGCCAGGAGACTCTTCCGGGTCTCCCACGCGGGTGCAGGTTCCCAAAGCTTTGGGCCGTCCTCGACTGCTTTCCCAGGCCACAGGCAGGGAGCTGGAAGGGAAGCGGGGCTGCCGGGATAGAACCGGCGCCCATATGGGATCCCGGGTGTGCAAGGCGAGGACCTTAACCACTGTGGCACCGCGCCGGGCCCTTCTTCCATCTTTAAACAAGAAGCCTGCTGCGGGCCTCTGAGGTGGGCCTGGATCTGGAAATGCTGTTTAGTTTCTGAGGCTGCTCACGTGCAGACTGCACTGCTACCGAGTGCTGAGGACAGCGTCTTGAAAGTGTTTTCCTTGTCATGGCCCCTGTAGACATGTGTGTGTTAAGACCACTCCCCTTACAGTACTAGAGCAAGTCAACCTTTCTCTCCTGCTTGGCTGTGAGAATTGGGTGGAGAAGGGGCGGTTTGTATTCGGGACCCATCGTTAAGCTCATGGTCTTTCTAATGCTATGTATCCTTTATTTTTCTGTGCAATGGTCCTGTCTCTTAACGGAAGAGAAAGGTAGGGAGAAAGTAGGAGGGTGCACAGATGTGTGCCTGTGTGTAAACTGATGGTTCATTGCAGGTGAACAGGGTTCCAGCTGTCAGGGATCAGCAGGTATAGGAGTATACGCCACTCGATGTTCAGCAGCTCTGCCAAGAAAATCCTAACCCACTTCCGGATGCAAGCTCCAATAGGCCTCTTGTCTTTGGCAGATCCCACGTGGCTTTCCACCAACCTGGGCATCCTGACGTGCATTGAGTGTTCCGGAATCCACCGCGAGCTGGGGGTCCACTACTCCAGGATGCAGTCTCTTACCTTGGATGTACTGGGGACATCTGAGCTACTGGTAACTTCTGAACCTTTGATTTTAGATGGGAAATTAGTAGCTAAAGATGAAGATTTTAGTTTCACATTCTAGTCCGTTTTGGCTCTTTGACATTGCAGCGGGCTGCTGGTGGTTCTGTAGCTGGATGGATTTGAGTCATCAGGAGCTCAGTGGTGCTCCCTCAGCTGCTGGTGCCACAGTGGACTTTGTGTTGCTGGACTTGACTTCAAAGCCAGCCAAGTGAGCGTGGCAGCTGATGTAAGAATCCTGTTCCTGGGGTAGAGTGGTGGCTTCGGCTGAACTCACCCCATTTGAACCAAAGCCCAAAGATGGCGAGGGAATTTTCTTGAGTCACTAGCAAGTTGTCTGCCAAAGCTATGGTCACCACTTGTCCACTGTAGACGTTCCTCTTACCGCCCACATTCCCCTTGAGGGAGAGCCTGGCCTTTGTTTCTCAGAAGGGGGCTTTCTTCTTGGCTCAGTGGTGGAGAGATGAGAGGGGAGCCCTGCCTGTGAAGCAGCCTTTGGCCCCCTGATGTACCGTGTGACTCAGGCTCAGGCTGTGCTGCTGGCTCCTGAGATGTGAGCTTCTGGGCTGTCTTCACAGCCCATCACTGCCATGAGAAAGCATTGGGTAAACTCTTCCTTGGGGAGGCTGGGATTTGGACTGTAAATACTAAGTGGATATTGATTGCTGCTGATTTTCATGTCGAGAGCAATAGTCTTGACAGAAAATCAATCGCTGTGGTCCATATGGCTCTCAAGGGGCCGTACATCTTATTGATGACTACTCTGGGTCCAATGTCAGAACTTGTAATGAAGCCTTTTGAACTGTCACTTGGAATCTTCCCAGCTTTTCATGAAATTCCTTTATGATCTGGGAAGACAGCGTGCTAGTCAGTAGCATCCTTGATGTTTTAGCTTTGAATGAAGCTAGACTTGGCGAGACCCAAGCCGTGTGCTCTCCGTTCCCCACTGTGATGGTTGCCGATGTCGCACGTGCTGGAGGTGTTTACATGTTGGCGAGGACTCTTGGGTAGTTGGTGATGTCGCACGTGCTGGAGGTGTTTACGTGACGCACTTTGGAGGCCATTTTATCAGTACCTCATTTGATCTTCAGAGTAACCCGATGGCCTTGAATTCTCCCACCATGCCCAAATTCAAGCTACTCATGTGAATTCTGGGTGTGCTGTTAGAAAACATACATGAGTGTATTATGCAGACTGTACCAACAATCTGCAACGGATTACTTCACAATATATACTAAAACTATTAGGAAGCCACACGTTTGAGTTTCATATGCCTCTGTTTTGATATAACTGACTTGGGAAGTTCCATAGCATCACTTTTCATCATAGCAACGTGTAAGAGCTGGCTTGCCAAGCTCCTGAAAGTTGAAGTTGGTTTTCATGAGCTGGTCAGAGCCTAACTCCCATCTTCGGTGTAACCTCCTCAATGTTTCTCAACACAATATTCTGAATGATCTTCCCGAGATGCTGTTGCCTGCTAAAGAGAAAAGAGCAGAGGTGGACCGGAGTAGGGGGGTTCCATCTTGGGTCTCTTCTCGCCAGAGTTTGGAGTTTCGACAGCTCTCGCTCCGTTTGAGAGATCACGCAGACTTGGACCCTTAATATCTGCAGATATTTGTAGAAATCTAATTTCTTCTGTGGTTTTTCCACTCCCCTTCCCCTAATCTAGGCCTCTTTTCCTATATGATTCCCGTAAGGTACTGATTTGCATGGAATTTGTGAAGGAGCTTAAGAAAGTTCATAGGAAAGTTTATGTTGGTGCAAAACATTTTTGAGATGCATACGGGACGTGCAGATTGTGAAAAAGACAGGCAAGGCTCATGAAAGGTTTTTGCACCAATATATGAGCTTCTTGTAGTTCCATCCCCCACACCTTGTGAGGAGGTGCCCTCTGCCGGGGCCCAGATGGTGGCCAGTCCTCTGGTGGCTCACAGGAGGTGGACAGTCCCCAGTTCCTGTGGGCCAGGACAGGGGATGCAGTGTCATTAGGACCTGCTTCCACAGTTCCTTACTTTGTCTCGCTTAGACAAGGAGGTTCCTAAGCAAAGGATTTCCTGAACTCTTGGCACTTGTCTCTCTCCGTGTATGTGTGTGTGTGTGTGTGTCTGAAATTATATCAGGCCTGTGGCAAGAGCGGTACCCTTACTGGTGAGTTGTTATCACCTCCAAGATGATTTTAACAAAGCCCTTTTAGGAAGACACTTTCCCTGTCCTTAATGCGTGGCTGTGCAGGGATGCTCCACGAGCTGTCCTCTGGTTGGCTGTTCTGTCCTGAAACCTTTCTGATTGAGGGAGCCGTGAGCAGGCCCTGGGCTTCTAGGCTCGAAGAGCGTTTTTGAGCATAGTTAGCGCTGGGCCTTAGGTCCCCCAGTTGAGGAACTCAGTGGGGACAGCCTGGACAAGCTGTTTGCACAGCAGTGTTCTCATCCCTCCAATAAATGCCAGCATGGCCACGTGACACAGTCATGTACTGTGGCAGAAGAGAGATAACTGTTGTTATTTATTCTGTTTTTGCTGGATGTGTTTATGGGGAACAGTGTGGTATTTTGGTATAGCGTGTGCAGTGTGGAATAAACTGTGCACATACCTATCATCTCAACACTCTAAAAAATGTGTTGTGAGGAGAACCTTAGACTTCATCCAGCATTCTCAGGCACCCTGGTCCCTACACAGCCACTGCGGACTCCACCCCGCCGTGCAGATGGCATGCCCTCTCCTTGCACCAGCATGTGCTTCCCCTGCTGGCTACCACAGTTCTGTCCCTGGCCTCTGGAGTTGCAGATGGCTTCTCTCTTTTTAAAAAGATTATTATTATTTTTTTTTATTGGAAAGGCAGATTTGCAGAGAGAAAGAGACAGGGAAATAGACCCTCTGGCTCATTCCCAAATGACTGCAACAGCCAAAGCTGAACCAATCTAAAGCCAGGAGCCAGGAGTTTCTTTTGAGTCTCGCACATGGGTGTAGAGTTCCAAGGACCCAGGCCATCCTCCGCTGGGTGTAGAGTTCCAAGGACCCAGGCCATCCTCCGCTTTTTTCCCAGGCCATAAGCAGAGAGCTGGATGGGAAGTGCAGCATCCGGGACCTGAACCCTAGCCCATGTGGAGTGCCACCGTGCCGGTAGAAGGTTAGTCTGTTGAGGCACCGCGCTGGCCCTGAGATGCTTTCTGCTGATTTCACTTAGCTGCCCTCCTGGTTCATTGTGGAGTCCCCAGGGGAGTCTGAGCAGTATTCCACCATGCATGTGCACCCCTCTTTCTTGATCCATTCCTCTGTGGGTGGACTCTGAGTTGATTCCATCTTTCGGCTGTCCTGAATGGTGTCTTTGGAGTGTGACCTCACATCTCAGTGTAGACACAGGCTGGGTTGCTGAATTCCAGGGCGTTTCTGTTCTGGATTGCTCGAGGAGCCTGCAGTCTGTGCTGTAAGGACCCACTGACAGTGCTGTTGCCCCATCCCCTCTAGTAGGTGTGACCTTGATGCCTCATTGTGGTTTTGATGTCCCTCTCCCTGCATGTCTGGCTTATCTGTTGGCCGTGTGTAGCTTTTCTCTGGAGAAGTGTTCCTTAATCTCTCGGTGGTCCCTCTAGTGGGGACCGGGACTTGAGGTGTGATGTCCTCACCAAGAAGAAACTTAGGACACTGGGATCCAGAGGCAAGACGAACCAATTCACAATTTATTGAATTTTTCTGGGGGCAACTTATACCTTTTTTTTCTTTCTTTCTTTTTGCAAAGCAAGCAGGCTGGTAAAAGTTGCAAGTTAACCAAACATAGAGACTACCATATCCAGATGTGGGGATGCAATGCAGTGTGCATCCCTGCTTCCAAATCCAAGATGGACTTCCAGTGAAGCTGTTGGAAATGTGTGGGCAGTGGGATGATGCACTGTCTGACACTGTACCAGCAATGTCGAGGCACACTTAGATAACTGACTGATGGAATGATGATTCCTTATGAAGGACTACAGTATCGTAGCAATGTGGGGAAAATCTGTCGGGGGGTGGGAGTTTGTCGGGGGGAATCCCAGTCTCTATGAAGTTGTACCATAAAATTGAAAAATTAAAAAAAAAAAGTTAACCAATGATAGCATGTAAGCTGCTTCTAACGACAGATCATAAGGGATTAGGGGAACAGTTACCAGCAGCTGTGTGAGCAAACATGTTACAGGAACCAACACTGGTAAACAGATCTAACAGAACTTTGTACTCGGGTAGTTGAGGCCACACTCACTAAAGGACGAGGAAGATGATGGTGGAGACCTCACTCCTCGCCGGGCAGGCTGTGTCTGCCGCCTTCTGCTGCATTCAGTCTGCCAAGGGTGAGATTCGGGGTCCCTTGAACACTTAGTGGTCTGGTTCAGGGGACAGATCTCCACAGGGAATCAATCTCCCGCCCTCAGCGGCATGGGTCATCAGCCACTCTTGAGATGCATTCTGTAGGTTGCCCTGTCCCTTGTCCCCTTCTCTGTGCGGGAGCTGCTGGGGCTGCCGTGGTCTCTCCTGTGGGTGTGTGCTGGTGCAGCGGGGGAGGGAGGCCGAGTGGCCGGTGAGCTGAGCCTGGTTGGATCGCCTGCTCCTTTTCCGTTTGGCCTGGCAGATGCTCCCCCTCTGGCTCATCACTCCCATGTTCCCATATGGCTGCGTGTACTCCACGTGGTCAGAGGCTCTGTCCTCAAGTGTGTGTGTCTGCAGCTCCCTTGGGTGGTGAACTCTGGCCACCTCACCGTTTCTGTTTCATTTCTGTTTCAAAGCCATGTAATTTCCACCTCAATTAAATGGGTTTTGCCAGCCTGCTTGATGATGGCTAGTTACCAGTAAACTTTTATTCTTCAGTCTTCCTGCTTTTTAGAATTACTTCTTACTCATGAACCAGAAAGCCACAATCCTGTCATAAAAAAGTACGCACGAAAATAGGTTGTTTACAGAAATACTAGAAATACTTATTTGTTGAAAAGGAAAAGTGACAGAATATGAATCCTCCAGTTCCTTGGCTCACTTCCCAGATGACCACAGTAGCTGGGTCTGGGCCAGGCTGAAGCTGGGATCCTCGTCTCCCATGCAGATGCTGGGGGTCCAAGTGCTTCTCTTGCTTTTCCAGACACATTACCAGGAAATGGAGATCAGAAATAGAACAACCAGAATCCAATCTGGCATTCTGCAATATGGATTTCTGCTGGAAATTGTAGCTTAACGTGCTGCACTGTAACACCAGCCCCCAAAATAGACATCCTTAAAGCTCAGCTAAAAACATACCATGTAAACTTGTTCCTACTCCCTGCTGCCTTTGGGCGGGCACAGCTGACTCAAGCCCTAGCACTGGCCACCCAGCCCAGCTCCTTTGTTGGCCCAAAGTTTAGTTGCAGCATGGCCAAGGGTGTGTGTTCCACCCTGCTGGCTCACAGAGGCCCTGTTGACAACACCTGATGTGGACGTTCCTGTTGGTAGCCAAGTGAATAGGTAGGGATCAGGAGTTGGGTCTCCTGTTGGCAAGGGACAGTGGGATGGGTAGGTCCTAGGTTCAATAGCTGTGCTCACCTGCTGAGTGTGGACAAGTGCCCAGGTCCACAGCTGGAGGGACAGACCCCAGTGTGTTGTTTGAGGAGGTCCACCCAGCCACACTGAACCAGTGGGTGGGGCAATCTGTGCCTGTCCCCATCTCCTGGACTCATTCCCAGCAAGGACGGCAGGAAATGTCAGGATGATTGAGTGCCCCCCCCAGAAAGCATGAAAATGGGGTGACCTCCACCCCACACACAAATTGTTTCTAGGTGAATGTTGGAACTCTGTGGATGCCGCTCGGCAGGTACGGGGTGAACAGTCTGGGGTCCCTCAGCAGTGATGGAGGCTTACTCATGTAAAGCAGTGCTGGGACACCTGCCTGCCCTGCTCCTCTGGGCCTGGCGTCCCTGCCCTTCAACCTTGATCCCGACTCTACGCTGCATGTTTCTTCCTGGTTCATCTGCGTCATCAGACAGAGTTGCTGTATAGCAAGGTGGAAGCTTGGGCCAAGTGCCCGGCACACGTGAGGGTCTGATGCACTCCAACCTTGGCCACAAGCTCAGAGCTAGCCTGGTGTCAGAGTGGCCTTTGCATGCTGAGTGACGGGCGAGGCACTTGACCTCGAGGCCCCCGGGGGGCTGACACTGCTCTCTCCCTCAGTGTCTGCACATTTTCTTGATAGCCCTGTAAAGACTCTTGCTTCTGTTGGCAAGTCTGGAGGTGTTCCTCTGCTGGCCGAAGCAGAAGCTGGTCCTGGCAGAGCCAGGGCTTGGCTTGGCTCGCCAGCACTGGATGCGTGTGACACATGGATGCAGAGGCTCCCCGAACCAGCTGGCTCCTGTAAAGCAGCCGAATGCAGCAGACGGGAAGCAGCTTCCTCTCCCAGGGGAAGCCTCTTCCCACCTCCCATCTGCTTGGCACGGACTGGGAGGCCTCAGGGTGGCCCCTCGCCGGTGGAGCGGACTGCCGCTCTGGCACGCACCTTCAGGAAATGATTATACTTGTCCAGGGAATGGAATCTGCACTGGGCTGTGACAGGCATTGGAGCATGCCCGGCTGTGCCCGAGACTTCCCAGCCCCTCGGCCTCAGGTTGCTTGGGTAGTTGTCACCTTTAGTGTGCTGTCTTGACAGTTAGCCTGTCTGGGCTGCAGGCCTCCAGGTGGGACTCAGCAGGAAGGTGGGGTGGTCTTGATGCTCTGGGCCATCAGGAGGTTCCGTGTGTGTCTCAAGTACAAGGTTAAACCAGGAAGGCTCACCGGAATTACTACTGACTGTCAGCTGTCATTCGAAACAGGTCACATCGCCTGTTTCCTTTGTCTATCCACTGTCATGTTCACAATGGTCCCACTTCACAGCTGCTGAGCTGTGCCACCAGGAAGCTGAGTGTCGCTCTCCTAGACCCCTCTGATAGTGTGAGCCAGTCCCTGCACCCCACCACTCCTGCCAGAATAGAGAAGATTGTTGGGGTGCAGCCAGGTCTCCCCTGGCATCTGCATTCATCCTGTAGAGATACTGGATAGTCCCAGACCCTGCATATACATCCCGCTAAATGGGGACATTCAAGTCTTGTTCTCAAAGCACCTGTGCCAGGCTGGGAGCGGGGTGAGGTGGCCCCACTCCCGGGAGCCTGTCTGTGCTGCAGGCCCTCAATCCCAAGCTTGCCACCACATTTCCAGGGTAGCGGGGTGTGCAGGGTGTCGCCCACCTCCAGAGCGTGTGCATGTGTCATAGTCAGGATTGGCACACCGAGGCTTCAGTCTCGAGCTCAGACGTCGGCCACTCTCTAGTGCTTCAGGTTGCTGAGTGCGTCCACCCAGGTGGTCCCACTTCCTCCCAGCCCTGTGAGTTGGGGGCCGTCCACATTTGCCTCATGCATGCTTGGATGTTCAGACAGGCTGCTGTGGTGTCGTGGAGTCAGCGGCAGAACCGGGTCTTGGCTTAGTGGCCCTGTGGGTGGCATACATCAAGGCTGTCGGTGGGCTGTGCGGTGGGCCCACTCCAGTGGAGCACAGGGGCTAGGATGGAGAGGGTAGAAACTGACAGCAGGCCAATCCCGGCTCTTAACTGTGCCCACAGGGACTCTCGGGAGCATTCACTCAAGTGCTCCCCTGTAGAAGGCCGTCGCCACTAGCTCTAATCCCGTAGGTACCTTAGGGCTCTGAGCTTTGTCTGTCTTCATTAAAAGCAAACCACTTGACTGCTGTATTTCTTAGTGGCTGTTGAATAAATCATGAGCCGCCTGGACCGCGTGTTAATAATTGAAAACCCTTAGCCTGCATTTTGTCTCTGCAGCTCGCCAAGAACATCGGGAATGCGGGCTTCAACGAGGTGATGGAGTGCTGCCTGCCGGCCGAGGGCTCCGTCAAGCCCAGCCCTGGCAGTGACATGTGAGTGTGGCGCAGGCTGCCCCTGCCTCCCTGCAGGAACCTGCACCTGGGTGCTAGGGAGGGAAGGACTTGGGGGGTACCTCAGTTGTGGCTTTTTTGGCGCTTGCTCCTGTCACTTATACATCGGTCCAAAGTCTGAACTTTGTTGTCATGGAGACACAGCCATCCTCCATGCCCTGGATCTGCATCCTTGTCAGGGCGCAGAATGTGTTTCACTTTGGTCAGCAATCACTTTGTTTGTTTTCCTGTTGACATAAAGCCTTGGGCCTTCTCACACGTGCAGCTGGCTCCCTGAGCCACAGTTTACAGCACGGAAGTTGCTTGCTGGTCTCAGTGAATAAAGCAGAGGTCCTCCGGGAGACTAGCTGGCTTACATGTGCACTGCCTGCCCGCGGCCTCGGCCCTGTCCAGCGTGCTGGCCTTCTGCGGGCTGCTATGAAGCAAGGCAGACGGAAGGACAGAGAGGTCATTGGGCCAGTTAAACAAAGAGCTAGCACATGCTTTTAAGTGGTCAGGGTGGAGCCATGTGTTCTGGCAAGTCAGGGGAAAGTGAGAATGTGTGAAAATGGAATTAGAGACAGTATTCAACCTGAAATGAAATGAACGGTCCCCCTTGAAAGATCTCGAGCGGCCTTATTAATGGGTGGGGGTGTTTGGGCCTATGGTAAGCTCTGAGAACTTGGATCTGTGTTACCTGGGGCATGTCTTTGGGGAACCGGAGGCTACAGGCCCCAAGTTGTGCTATGTTCTGCTGCTAGAAATGAATAGCACATTGGTCAGGGACATCTGGTGGGAATAAACGGGCTGTGCCATATGCCCCAGAGGCACCTCCTGGTATCAGGTATCACGGCTGAGCCCTCCAGCAGGTGCCAAATAAAAGCCAGTTCATGTTCAAGTCCAGGCAAGCATCGTGCTGCAGCTTTCCCTGAGGGGTTGGACAGGTGTGATTGTAGACCGCGGGACGAAGGCTCCTCTGTGGGTGGAGGCCTAGGTTTCAGGCTTCAGGCCTTGCCTGGTCACTGGACAGTTGCTCAGCTCCTCTGGCCCCAGGCCCAGTTTCCTCTCCTGTGAAAAAACAGCCCACGCCCTCTGTGTGCCCTGAGGAAATCAGTCAGTGTAGTTTTGGTGCTCAGCTGGGGTGGGCAGCAGAGAACACCTGCGTACCCTGTGGACTTCCCACCCCCTGAAAACCAAGGGGTCTCTCCTCCAGTTGATGCCTTCCCTGGGGCGGACGTGGCCCTGCTTGGGAGGGACAGCCTGTGGTTCTGCGTGTCACCCTATGCTGGGGATTCTTGTCTGCTGCATGCTTCCAAGTGCGGGTAACACCTTTCAAGTCAGAGCACCTGTTTGTTCTGGAAGATTTTGAGAAGTGAATGCTGGGGTCCTGCTGCCCAGCAGGTTAACCTGTCCTTTGGGGCGCCCTCGGCCCTATCTGAGTACCAGTCCAGTGACTGCTCCAACTGCAACTCAGCGTCCTTATTAGCGTGCACCTGGGAGGCAGCAGGCGATGGTCCGAGTGCCTGGGCTGCTCCCACCCACATGGGAGACCCTGATGGAGTTCTGGGCTTCAGCCTGCTCCAGCCCTTAACTGGCGCAGACATTTGGGGAGCAAACATATGGATGGAAGATCTCTCACGCTCTGCCTTCTGAGCAGGTGGAAGTAAATCAACATTAAAAACTTTGCTTAAGAACGTTCTACCTGCATGGTGACCACCCCCAGCCCCAGCAGCACTGAACAGCAGCTACATGTCCCCCTGCCTTTTTAAAGCTGCAGTCAGTGTAATGACACGATGCCCCATTCGCGCCATGTCTCCATGGCCCCGCAGCCGTGGCCCTGGCTTGTGACACTCGATTCCACATTCCCTGAGACCTCGGTATTCTCGTGGATTGGTGGTGTTCCGGGAGAGCGCAGCTGCCTATTCACTTTTCTGTTCCCCACCACACTTGCTATGTTGTCTGTTCCGCAGATATTGAATGAATCGACAGGCGGGGGAAAGTGCCTGCTTCCTAGGCGCGTGGGTTTGTAGCTCCCTCTTAGAGCCGACACCATCTGCAGCCATGACTAGTGGCCTGCACCTCCCCAGTGGAGTCTGGGGCGCCGGGTGGGTGGTGCTAGGCAGGGGAAGGCCAGCTGTGGCCTGGTTAGGGCCAGGACTGTTTCTGTCTGCAATTCAGACCTACTGCACGCTCTGTGTCCCTGCCTCTGAACACCAAATGTGCCGTTGCCTTAAGTTCCTTGCTTTGCTGCCAGAGCCCACGCCTTTAAACAGGAGGAGGTGGAATGCGTTTGCAGAGCAGGCTCCCTCTCTGAGTTCAGGGGTGCTGTGATCCAGGGGGTGCTGTGCCCACACTGCCCGCAAAGGACTCCCAGCCCTGGCCAGATGACCAGTGCACTTTTTCTTTATTTTGGAAGGCAGAGAGGAGAGAGACAAAGAGAGAGCTGGTGGCAGTGGCCCCATCCAGGTCTCCCATGTGGGCGGCAGGGGCCCCAGAACAGGGCCATCTTCTTTGCATCAGCATAGAACTGGAGAGCCTCCAGGACAGTGCTGCAACCCCGAGGTGGTGCCGTGCGGGGCTTAGTGCCTGAGCAGTAGGAATGAAAGTGCAGCAGGCACAGCCCCAGGAGTAAGCTGGAAGAGAGCGGTGCTCGGGCTGCGAAGAGCTGACCGCGCAGGCTGCCTGTGCCCCAGGCCACCACGGCCCCCTCCACACACTGCCGCCTGAGCAGAACTTGAGCCAGGCTCCAGGATTCCTCTCCCAGCACTGGGGATGTGTCCTTACCCAGTCCTGCAGCAGCCCTGAACGGGAAGTTTGGTCATGGCCACCCAGCAGGAAGTGGTGGAGGCAGCTGGAGATCTGGGTACCCGACAGCCCATGCTGAGTATTCTGAGAGCTGGCCATCTGCCCCAGGTGCCACACGCCCTTCTCTGTGCTCAGCCTCCCTGTGTCTCCCATGGTTTTCTTGTGCTGGACTTTTGGCCTGGAGGTTAAGATGCCCACACCCCCTGTCCGTGTGCCTAGGGTTGCTCAGCTGCTGCTAGCACAGTCCCTGCAAGGCTGCAGTGATCGGGTGATCGGGTCCCAGCCACCCAGTGATGGGGTGATGGGGTCCCAGCCACCTGGTGATTGGGTGATGGGGTCCCAGCCGCCCAATGATGGGGTGATGGGGTCCCAGCCGCCCAGTGATTGGGTGATGGGGTGAAGGGGTCCCAGCCACCCAGGTGGGAGACCTGGATTGAGTTCCTGGCTCCCAGCTTTGTCCTCGCCTAACCCAAGCCATGGCAGGCCTCTGAACTGGCAGGTGACAAGATTTGTGTTCTCTCTCAAATTTTTTTAAAGAAAATTTTTAAAGATTTATTTTCATCATTAAGACAGATATACAGGGAGGAGGAGAGACAGGAAAATCTTGCGTTTGTTGATTCACTCCCCAAGTGACCGCAACAGCCGCAGCTGCACCAATCTGAAGCCAGGAGCTGGGAGCCTCTTTCAGGTCTCCCACACGGGTGCAGGGTCCCAAGGCTTTGGGCGGTCCTCGACTGCTTTTCCAGGCCACAAGCAGTGGGCAGGACATGAACCAGTGCCCCTAGAGGCTGTTAATGCCTCAGGTGGATGCTTAGCCTGCCTTGCTGTGCTGCTGATCAACTTGGTTTTGTATTTCTTCACTCATTGGCTTGTGGATATATTGGGTTGTTGCTCAGCATTTGTGACTTGACTGCAACAAGCCTGTTAGCACTTACTGCACCTGCTGTCTTACTGTGGCTGGGACTGTAACGTGCACCACCTTGGGCTTGTGGGCAGCTAAGTTTATTTGCTGTTTCTGAGTCCCCAAGTCCTGTGGTATGTCTGTAGCTGTGTGTGTTCTGCTCACAGCTCTAGGAGGTTCTGTTATGTCCCTTTCACAAATTCGAAAGCTTGAGCCCTACAGTAAGTGAAACATTGGTTCAAGTCCCAGCCTTCAGCACTCAGGATGTCTGTCCTCCCAGCTGCTTGGATGGGCAGGGTCAGAGCCCAGAGTCGTTAAAAGACCAGCAAGACAACACGAGGGAGCCTGCCCTTCACTTTGAGTCTTCTGAAAGTGGCTGGGCACCTCTTTCTTATGCCAGGCACAGCATCCACAGGAAGATGCATGGTCTGTGCTCCTGTGGATGGACAGAGGGGCCATCAGGAAGCAGGTGTCGGTGCAGGACGGGGCAGGCAGGGCCAGCCAGCAGAGGGGCCACTAGGACAGGCACGGAGATGTGTGTGAGGTCAGGACACAGAACCTGGGGAGGTCGGGAGCGCAGCAGAGATCCAGTGTGTCAGGTGTCGGCCGCCTGGCCTGCTGGCCCTTGCTCCGCCGCAAGGCTGAGACCTCTAGGCCTCCGTGGTCACTGTTTGTTGCCAGTATTGTTTCAGTGTTGGGGGTAGGTGGCCTGACATGGCAGGCCTGTCTGGTTTCAGGAACGCAAGGAAGGACTACATCACGGCCAAGTACATTGAAAGGAGGTTCGCGAGGAAGAAACACACAGATAACGCGGCGAAGCTACATAGCCTGTGCGAGGCCGTCAAGGCCCGAGACGTGTTTGGGTTACTACAGGCCTGCGCCGACGGGGTGGACCTCACCGAGAAGATCCCGCTGGCCAATGGACACGTAAGCAAGCTGGGGGAGCCGTAGGGGACTGTGGCCAGGGCCGCGTGGTCCTCTTAAGGACACAGCTCTGCGTTCTTCAGGAGCACGGCAGTAGTTTCTCTTTCAGGCAGCCCTGGCTGTATGTTTCCTGGTGCAATGTGATACTCAGGTGTGCTTTGTGGAACAAATAGTGTCAGTTCATGCACACTGTGTGTGTTGCAGCGAGAACACTCCTGTCCTGAGATGGGCAGCGAGTCCGGCTGAGCAGCTTCCTGTCAAGGTTGAGGGTGGGAGATCTCTCCCCTGAGCCTCGCCTCCGGCCTGGACACACCAGGGCTGTGCGTGGGCCACGCCCCTCCTGGTGCTGTCTCTGGGGAGTGGCTGGGTGGGTAGAGGACAGCTCCTCATGCCCTGTTCTGTGAGTGCTCCCCTCCCTCCAGCTGTCTGGGCCGCTGCCCACCTAGAACCCGCCCCGTCCTCTCCTCCCCCACATGCCGAGCTCCAGCTTCACAGTCAGCGTTACAGTCTGTAGAGCAGAGATGAGAGCTTTGGGGGAAAGGACTGAGGAGTCAGGGGAGATAAGTGTGTGAGTTCTCTTGAGCTGGACACAAGCTGGTGGCTGCAGCCGGGGTCCTGGAAGGCTCTGCTTGCTTTTCTAGGAGCCAGACGAGACGGCACTGCACCTGGCTGTCAGATCTGTGGACCGGACATCGCTCCACATTGTGGACTTTCTGGTTCAGAACAGGTGGGTATCCTGCAGGTATTTGTCATGACTGCTAGGGCTCTTGGGGAGACACACTACCAGGAAGCTCCCTGTGCAGGTCCAACCGGGAGCCGGGGAACTGAACGGGGTGGCCGGCTGTTAGGGGTGTTTCACGCAATCTTAAAAAAAAATAAATAAAAAAAGCTCTGGAAGTGAGAGTGGAACCCTTGGGCTTGGTGATGTCTGTAAGACCCAACTACAAATGACTGATCAGCACCCGGGCACAGGTACGTTTCTCACCTTGTCCCCCAAGGTGGGTCTAGCGTATAAACCCAGCAAAGCGTCCTGAGCAGCAGGCGCCCTGGGAGAGCAGCGATGCCTGCATTGCGCACCCCCAGCTCTGGGTGCTTTGGGTGAGAAGTTGTCTTATTCCTTTTCTTCTTCATCATCATCTTTATCTTCCTCTTCCTTTGCTTCAATTTATCTTTTTACTTGAAAGGCAGAGTTTCAGAGGGAGAGACAGAAAGAGACCTTGTGTCCACTGATTCACTCCCCATATAGCTGCAGTGGCTGGAGTTGGGCCAGTCCAAAACCAGGAGCCAGGAGCTTTTTCAGGTCTCCCTTGAGGGCGCAGGGTCCCAAGTACCCACCAAGCACTTGGGTCATCCTGTTGCTTTCCCAGGCATATTAATTAGCAGGGAGCTAGATTGGAAGTGGAGCAGCCGAGACTCCAACTGGTGCCCATCTGGAATGCCTATACTACAGGCGATGGATTTGCCCATGATGGGGCCGGCCCTGTTTCACATTCTGAGGACACCTCGCCTTGGCTTACCTGCTGTTGGGCACATGGTGCTTCCTGCACGTGTGCTGCCTGCCTGGCAGCTGACACCAGGACCCTTTGGCATGTCCTTTTGACTCTTTGATTGTGGTCAGCACATTCTAGTTGAAAACCACTGCAGGTGGAATGGGCAGTTGTGCATTGTGAAAATGGTGGGGGAAGTTTACCTTCTGTGTCCTCTGCTTTTCCCTGTCCTCAGATAGAAAAACAAAGGGCAGACAGGAGAGGGCTCGGGGCAGGGCTGTCCACCCTCAGGCCTGCAACACGGACTCCTGGCGGAGACGTGTCAGGCGTCGGGCACCTGAAGCTCAGTGAGTAAGTAGCCATGTGACACTTCTCTCCATTTGGCTTCTCCAGGGCCCCAAGGAGAAATCCTGACTTTACTCTCAGATCTCAGGTTCCCAATGGGAGCAGTGGGCTCCCCACACCCTGATGTTCCTTCTATGCCTGTGTGTCTTCCCCAGCACCACAAACCTGCTGTCCTGGCTCAAGTGTGCTGGTGCCGCGCTTGCACGCTGCGCCCTGGGGAGTTTGTGCTGTGTCTGCAGAGCACTGGCACCTTTTCAGAAAAGGCTGTGGGGGAAGTTTCACAGACTGTCCCACAAATAGCTCAGAAGAGCCTGGGACCACGACTTTTCCCTTCCTGGCAGGTGTGTAGGATAAGATGGGGAAGCTGAGCCTGGCCCCTTGTAGGCTTCCTGGGGCCTGAGTGCAGCCCGGCAGGCGAAGGATTGATGGAAAGGATGCCAGGGTTCCAGAATTGCCCTGGCGGTGCCCTGTACCCCAGGACCCCTACTCAGCCGCAGTGCAAGAGCTGTGCCTCCCCGACCAGCCCCGTGTTCTGTGCCATGTCCCCTCATCCACAGCTGCAGTGTTTGTCTCCACACCCAGGGATTCTCATTGCCACCTCTCCCAACCTGTGTCTCTGCGCCCAAGACTGACCATCGTTTCTCTTTCTCCTCGTCCGCGAACAGTGGGAACCTGGACAAGCAGACGGGGAAGGGCAGCACAGCGCTGCACTACTGCTGCCTGACGGACAACAACGAGTGCCTCAAGCTGCTGCTCCGGGGCAAGGCCTCCATCGAGATAGGTGAGCTCCTGGCGGCCCTACTGGCCCACGTTGCCCGTGTGCCCACATGGGCTCCCGCGAGAGCTGAGCAGGAAGGGCATGCTGCCTGCATGGGGAGGCAGCTCCCCACCTGCCCCAGCCGGCTTTATAAGGCTGTTTTGGCTTGGGTGCTGGTCCCCCCAGACTGTGTGTGTATCTGCAAGCCTTCTGCGCCTCATAGGGAGGCCAAGGCTGGGCTTTGCTGTGTTCACTAGGGCTGTTTGAATTAGGATGAAGCTGAGGAATTAGGACCTGTTCACAGACCTGGAGCATCCTACCCCCTGCTGCACCTGACTAAGCTCCTCCCCTGGCTCTGAGTCCCGCCAGCTCATGAGACACTGCTACATCGCACCCTCTCCAGACTCAGCCCCTTGCCTGGCTCCGGGTCCTGACAGCTTATGGGGGAGACACTGTTCCCTGCCCTGCCCTTTCACTTACATCAGACCCATTCAGCTGGTACCCTGACTCCCGTGGAACCTCGCTCCGCCCTCTGCCATGCGTTCTTCCCCCCGCCAGCCAGTTCCCTAATGTACCTTCTCACAACAGGGAAGAGTAGAAAAGGGGCTTGTTACAATGCACAGTCCTTGTTCTTAATAAAGTTAGTAAGCATCATTGACGGAGATGTCTGTGGAAGAAAACACACTCTAAACCCATACACCGCATAAAGGCGGCCATCAGAGGCACGGGCCTGCGCTGGCTCTGCTTCCGCTGGATAGTTGGGATAAACCGCCTTACTTCAGTGACATAGTTTGGCAATTGATTGAAGCTCATTGGCTGAGCAGCTTTGTTCTTGTGATTAGCTCAAAATTTGATTCCACCAACTTGCTGGTTTTTTTGTTTTGTTTTTTTCAAGATTTCTTTATTTTTATTGGAAAGTCAGATATAAAGAGAGAGGAAGATCTTCCGTCCATTGATTCACTCTCCAGGCGGCCACAATGGGCAAAGCTGAGCCGATTCAGAGCCAGGAGCATCTTCTGGGTTTCCCGCATGGATGTAGGGTCCCAAGGCTTTGGGCCGTCCTCGACTGCTTTCCCAGGCCTCAAGCAGGGAGCTGGATGGGAAGCGGGGCCACCGGGATTCGATTCAGTGCCAATATGAAATGCTGGTGCATGAAAGGCAAGGACTTTAGCTGCTAGGCTGCCACGCTGGGCCCAGCCAGCTAATCTTTTATGTAGTTGTGAGAGAAATTTAGCTGTCCACAGCAGACCAACTTTGGGTTTCATTAATCTTCAGTTTAGTCAGTGTTATCTCACTGTTTTTTTTTTTTAAAGATGTATTTATTTTTATTGGAAAGTCAGATAGACAGAAAGATCTTCCATCCCCTGGTTCATTCCTCAAGCGGCTGCAATGGCCAATGCTGAACCGATCCAAAGCCAGGAACCAGGAGCGTCTTCTGGGTCTCCCACCCAGTTGCAGAATCCCAAGGCTTTGGCCCATCCTCAACTGCTTTCCCAGGCCGCAGGAAGGGAGCTGGATGGGAAGCAGGGCTGCTGGGATTAGAACCAGTGCCTGTATGGGATCCCAGTGCGTGCAAGGAAAGTAGCCACTAGGCTACTGCATCGAGCCTTCAGTGTTATCTTTTAAGATTTATTTAGTTGAAAAGTGGATTTTCAGGCAGAAATGTCCCAAGCACTGGTTCTTTTCCCCGTATACTGGGACAAGCTGAAGCCTGGAGCCAGAAACCATTCAGTGCTCCTACATGAATGCCTTGGTCCAAGCACTTGAACCATCTTCAGCTGCTTTGCCATGCACATTAGCAGGGAGCTAAATTAGAAGTGGAGCAGCCAGGACTCGACCTGGCATCTTTATAGAATCAGGCTATGGCTTAACTTGCTGAGCCATAATGTTGACCCCCCAATTATGTCTTTTTAAAATGATTTCAAGCTGTCGCCTCTTTGCTGGATTTTGCCATAACATGGCCTTTCCTCGCCCTTGATTTTCAGCCAACGAGGCAGGAGAGACACCGCTGGACATTGCCAAGCGCCTCAAACACGAGCACTGTGAGGAACTGGTGAGCGTCGTCTTCCCCCACCCCGGCGTAGACAGTACGGGGCTCTGGAGCAGATCTTAGCCCTGCTGTACGCGTGTCCCGGGCAGTCTTCACAGGAGAATGCCGCCTCCTTGCGGGACACGCAGGTGGCTGTGTGGAAGGTGCCCTGGCATCGCCTGGGCAGCTGAGCTGAGATTGTGCCCTGCTGCCCATCCTCCTGCGCCTATGAGCTCTGGCCTCATGCCTTTGTAGCATCCCGGGCCGAGCAGCCTGGTTAGCAGTAAGCTCAGGGAGGCCACTCAGGTGCCTTGCAGCTAAGGCAGAGGCATTTGCACCTGTTTGCAAGTTGCTGAGGGGGTTTTTGCTAAGCTCTGTCAAGCAGTTGTCCCAGGGTAATGCCGAGCGGGTGGAGCTCATTGATAAACCTTACCCACATGTGGGGTGAGTGACAGCAGGTCCTACCATCAACTCATTCACTGTTCATGACGCAGTAACTCTTGGGTCCCTTTTGTGACTATGTCACAGCTGAGGGGTAGGCACAGGGAGGAGACATAACGTGGGCGAACAGTGCTGAGGTTGGGGTTCTGCGGGGCTGGCACCCCCAGGTAGGACGTAATCGTTTCCATCCCCTTGTTAGCACTTTGCACTTAACTGGAACTTGTGAGGTTGTCCTGTGCCTCTGGTCAAGGGGCTCCAATGAGCCGGCCTTGGGAGGAACACAGGCCCCCGCCCCCCTGTGCCGCCTGTCTGACCACCTGGAGGTGCCAGGCCAGCAGCCCCTCTGACTGCACTTTCCTCCTCTCAGCTGAACCAGGCCTTATCCGGAAGGTTCAATTCTCACGTCCATGTGGAGTATGAATGGCGGTTGCTGCACGAAGACCTGGACGAGAGTGATGACGACATGGACGAGAAGTTGCAGGTCTGTGCCAGGCTGCCCAGCACAGCTGTGGGGAACCTGGCCGAGAGCAGGAGACAGGGCTTGCCCTTCACTTCCTGTGGGTTTCTGGGCCTGTCGTTCCCACTCCTGCCCCTGTCTCCTAGCTCCGCATGCATTACAAGAGTGACACGTTATCTGCTCATAGGCAGCTGCCCACCCTTGCTGCCAGGGAAACATCGAGAGGCTCGGATTCAAGGGGGGCTTAGAGAAGTCCCTCACAGTGGTCGTGGAATATAAAGGGCCAAGTTGTTCTTGTACCACCAGGATCATCATGTCCGCCTGCTGGGCCATGGGGTCTGTTGCTGATCTTAAAATCTCGACCATAGTCATGAATCAGCCCTTACAGCTCACAATCTAGCATGATCCTTCCTCATACCTCGAGAGAAACTGACTTAAGTATTGTCCCAGGATGGCCTGGGAGCAAAAATATGGGCCCTTGCTCCCCATCCAGCTCCCTCCTTGCCACTCACTGCCTCGCACATGCACTGACCCCCAAGACGCCCAAGGGCCAGCCCCTTTGTGTGGCTTTTGGTGCAGAGGGAGAAATTTAGGAGGTCTGACAGTAAGTGCATAGTTCTAGCTGAGACCATCCTCCATCTACCTTTAGCCATGTGAAGTGAGGGGTGGTAACCAACATTCTGTGTTGAATCCAAGTTGGAATAGACCACCTTAACACCCACAGTTGGAGTGCTGTGTTAGACACTGTCACAGTACCACGCTAGGCCCATGGTCAGAATAGACACACACTCAGGATGACCTGTTAGAGACACTACTGAAATTCTGTGTGCACACTCTGAATGCCACAGTAGACACCATGTTGCAATTTAAATTTTTAGGTTTTATTTTTTAAGATTTATTTTTATTGGAAAGGCAGATATACAGAGAGGAGAGATGGAGAGGAAGATCTTCTGTCTGATGATTCACTCCCCATGTGGCCACAACGGCTGGAGCTGAGCCAAACCGAAGCCAGGAGCCTCTTCTGGGTCTCCCACATGGGTGCAGGGTCCCAAGGCTTTGGGCCGTCCTCAACTGCATTCCCAGGCCACAGGCAGGGAGCTGGATGGGTAGTGGAGCTGCTGGGATTAGAACCTGGTGTTCTTATGGGATCCTGGCACGTTCAAGGCAAGGACTTTAACCGCTACACTATCATGCTAGACCCTAAATTGTTTTAGTTTTTTAAAGATTTATTTTTATTATTTTTTCATTGGAAAGGCGGATATACAGAGAGGAGAGACGAGAGACAGAGAGGAAGATCTTCCGTCCGATGTTTCACTCCCCAAGTGAGCGCAACGGGCCGATACTATGCCGATCCGAAGCCAGGAGCCTCTTCCGGGTCTCCCACGCGGGTGCAGGGTCCCAAAGCCTTGGGCCGTCCTCGACTGCCTTCCCAGGCCACAGGCAGGGAGCCGGAAGGGAAGCAGGGCTGCCGGGATTAGAACCGGCGCCCACATGGGATCCCGGGCGTGAAAGGCAAGGACCTTTAACCACTTGCGCCACCGCGCCGGGCCCAATTGTTTTAGTTTTTAAAGGCTTATTGATTTGAAAAGCAGAGCTAGAAAGAGAGACAAAGGTCTCCCATCCATTGGTTCCCTCCCTAAGTGGCTGCAGTGGATAGGGCCGGGCCAGCCAGAGCCAGAAGTCAGGAGTTACTTCCTTTTCCCCTGAGTCAGTCAGGGCCCAAGTATTAGAGCCCTCCTCTGCTGCTTTCCCAGTCACTGGAGCAGGGAGCTGGACTGGAAGCGAAGTAGCCAGGGCTTGAACAGGTGCCCGCTTGGGATGCAGTGTTACAGGTCAAGGCTTAACCTGGTATGCCATAATGCCAACCCCTAACTACTTTTGTTTTTCCTGTTGGACATTAAAGCGTTTGAGGAGGGAAGGGTAAACATATCAATGTAGACATGATAAATGTAGACGGACTTCCTAAGTTTGTGGACCTGTTCTTGTTCAGGAAACAGTGAATGTCTGGATTTAGTATTTCTTTTTTCTTTTTAGAAAATATATATATATATATTTTTTAAATTTGAAAGGCAGAGAGAGCATTGATATATCCATTGTTCCCTTTCAAAATGCCACGATGGGCTAAACTGATACCACAAGCCAGGAACTCAAGCAGGCCTCCCGTGTGGGTGGCAGGGGTCCAAGCACTTGCACCATCACCCACTGCCTGGCATGGTGCCATCACCCACCACCTGGTGTGGTGCCATCACCCACCGCCTGGCGTGGTGCACATGAGCTGGATGTGGAATTAAAGGCACAGCAGGGACAGACACTCCAAGCAGTGGCTTCATTGCTGTACCATATGCCAGCTCCTGTACTAATGCTTTTTAAAGGAAATATTTATTTATTTATTTATTTATGAAAGAGCTAGAGTGAGCGAGATTAAACTTCCATCTACTGAATCACTCCCAAAATAGCTGCAATAGCCAGACATGAGCTAAACCCAATCCAGGCGATTCTGGGTCCCCTCAATTGGCGTGGGGGCCCAAATGGTTTGGGTTGCCCTCTGCTGCTTTCCCTGGAGTTAGATGAGAAGTGGAGTAGCCAGGTCTCAAACCAGCACCCATGTGGGATGCCAGCATGTGGGCCCTGGTTTTATCTATTAGACCACAGTGCCAGCCCCACTGACTGTTAAAATTTCAACTAACAGCAGGTGTTTGACCTAGCACTTAAGATGCCCGCATCCTGGAGCCATCATTGTGATATAGCATGTTACGCTGCTACCTGCAATGCTGGCATCCCATATGAGCACTGGTTCAAGTCCCAGCTGCTTCACTTCTAGCTCTCTGCTAATGCGCCTGAGAAAAGCAGCGTAAGATGACACAAGAATTTGGGCTCCTGCCACCCACATGGGAGACCTAGGTATAGCCCCTGGCTCCTGGCTGCAGCTCTCAGCCTTAGCTGCTCTCCCATCAGGAAGTGATCTAACACATGGGAGATCTCTGGCTCTCTCTGTCCTCTGTGACTCTGACTTCCAAACAAATAAGTAAATCTTAAAACAACAAGAGAAGATGCCCATGTCCCATATCCGAGGGTCTGGAGGCCGCGCTTGGCTCCGCTGCTGGGAGGCAGCAGTCACAGAGCCACTGCCACGCAGGCAGGACACCTGACTGTCGCTGGGATACCTGCACCCCTTGCAATCGCTGCCTTCCAGCCTCCACTGTGGCCCAGGACAGATGGGGACGTTTGAGGAGTGAGTCAGTAGAATGATCAATATCTCACTCTCCTCTCCTCTCCCCTCCCTTCCCTTCTTCCTCTTCTTCTTCCTCTCTTTCTCGCTCCTGTCTCTTCTTTCCCTCCATGGCTGTCAAATAATAGCTTTTTTTTTCTTCCATAAAGGTTTACTTTTCTTACTAGAAAGGCAGACAGAAAGATCTTCTGTCTTCTGGTTCATTCCCCAAGTGGCCACAGTGGCCGGAGCTGAGCTGATCCAAAGACGAGAACCAGGAACTTCTTCCAGGTCTCCCATGTGGATGCAGGGTCCCAAGGCTTTGGGCCGTCCTTGACTGCTTTCCCAGCCATAAGCAGGGAGCTGGATGGGAAGTGGAACAGAACCGACGCCCAGGTGGGATCCTGACAGTTGGAGTTAGATGGTTAGCTAATTGAGCCACCTTGCTGGGCCCAGCAGTATTTTTGTTGTTGTTCTAAGAAAAAAATAAAGGCTAATAAATACCTGCACCACCATTTCAGAATCAGAGTGACAAGAGTGGGTTAGTCTGGCTTAGCTGCTCTGCACACAGGTTCAGATCTGCCCACCCCAGGTGGCTGTTCGACAGGCACATCATGTTCCCTTTTGTAAGTGATGACGCAGCTGGCATGATCCACGGCTCCACTGTGATGTCCTGACCCTCTGCCAGCCCCTCCTGTTGTCTGCAGCCAAGTAGCAGGCGTGGTTTGTCCTCAGCTGTGGGTCTTTCAGCTTTTAGAGATCTGTGTGGAGGCAAGTGCTGGGCTTGCAGTTAAGGAACCACTTGGGAGGCCAGTGTCCTGGGTCAGTGCCCCACCTCGGCCAAGCCCTGCCTGCCTGGGTGGTAGCTGGTAACAGCTCCTGTACTGGAGTCCCTGCCACCACTGTGGGAGACTGACTTGAGTGCCCCCTGGTCTCCCCAGCTGCTGTGGACATTTGAGGGCCAGGGCCCTTGTACTGTGGACCATGAGGAAGCAGGCGAGGACACTCAAAGCCAGAAAGAGAGGGTTCTGGCTAGTGAGCGGACGTAGCTCGAGTTGGAAACCCTTCCCAGCGCTTGGTCATGCCTTTACTGGAGGGTCCACCTGCACCCTGAGCTCACAGAGCCTTGGTGTGAACTCCTGCCTCTGGCCCAGCCATCAAGAGCTGAGCTGGCCCCTGCCCAGTGGCTGCAGGGCACCTGCCCAGTGGCTGCAGGGTACCTGCAGCCCCCTCCGCTTTGATGCATGCTCTTCCTGCAAGACCCATGTAATCGGGCCCGGCGCCATGGCCTAGCAGCTGAAGTCCTCACCTTGAATGCCCCGAGATCCCATATGGGCGCCGGGTCTAATCCCAGCAGCTCCACTTCCCATCCAGCTCCCTGCTTGTGGCCTGGGAAAGCAGTTGAGGACAGCCCAAAGCATTGGGACCCTGCACCCATGTGGGAGACCCAGAAGAAGTTCCCGGTTCCGGGCTTCGGATCGGCACAGCACCGGCTGTTGTGGCCACTTGGGGAGTGAATCATCGGAGGGAAGATCTTCCTCTCTGTCTCTCCTCTTCTCTGTATATCTGACTTTATAATAAAATAAACAAATCTTAAAAAAAAAAAAAGATCTGTGTGGCCTCACCTCCCACCTCCGCTGTCCGCCCTCTGCAGCCCAGCCCCAACCGGCGAGAGGACCGGCCCGTCAGCTTCTATCAACTGGGATCTGGACAGCTGCCGTCCAACTCTGCCTCTTTGGCCCGAGACACCACCAGCCTTGCCAAGGACAAGCAGAGGGGCTTCGGGCCCAGCATCTTGCAGAACGAGACCTATGGTGCCATCCTGAGCGGCAGCCCACCCCCTGCCCAGCCCTCAGCTCCCAGCACCACGAGCGCCCCCCCACTGCCCCCTCGGAATGTTGGCAAAGGTATGGCATCTTGGCGATCCCTGTACATGCATCGTCGGGGGTGGGCGGTGTCTGTGCTCTGGGGGGTCGTGGGCTGCTAGAACCCAGGAAGGAAGCGTCTGTGGCTATTATTTTATAGTTGTTTTCTCTGTGTCCCCCTCAAAGAATCGCATCATGACTATAAGGCCGTATGGTGGCAGTGTGCAGTGTGCCTTGCCTGGGTTCTTGTGGGCAGAGCTGTGGTCAGCTCCCAGAGCCACGGCTGCCACTGCCAGGACATGCTCCTGCTGAGCTTCCGTTGCACCTGCCTCTATGCCACCTCAGAGTAGCTGCAGTAGGCCCTGTCTCTGATTCCCACAAAATGAACAAGGGACACCAGCTTGAAGAGCCTCGCCCGGCACACAAAGCATTGTCCCTGTGCACTCCCAGTGGTGTCCCCCGTGCAGGAAGCCATATCCACCTTCACCGCTCCATTGTAGCTTTGCGAGGTAGGCTCCAGCAGGTGCCAGAGTTCATCCATCCATGTACTGAAGGTTGGCTGGCCACCAGGCTCCCAAAAGACTTGTCTGGCCATGGCCTGGGGCTCTGGCCCTAGGCTGTGGTTTTCAGAGGTTTTTCTGCGTGGAGGGGCCCCAGGTTGCACTTGGGGCAGGGTCGCAGGTGGCTGAAAAGCCAGCCGTCTGGGGAGTAAGCATGCAGCTGTTTGACTTGGTGGGGTACCTCAGGGACCCCTGCAGGCTCTGTCCATCTGGGGAAGCTTAGAGAGGGCTCAGTAAACCTCCGTCACTGAGTCACTCCCTACCTCCCAGCAGCAGATCCAAAGATAGCCTGCGCCCCTGCCCCCCGACCCCTGAGAAAGGCAACTGTGACCGCTCCCCGCCATCGTGGGTCATGGAGGCCCACATGGAAGGGGATTCCTCACTGCAGTGGCTCTCACCACCTGTGAGGGTCCCTCGCAGACAAGGCAGGCTGGACTGTGCCGGGCTGGGGAGCAGGGGTGAGCTCTGTGCGCTCATGTCTGGGTTTCTGACCTTGCTGGAGTGAGAGGACTTGCCTGTTTTCTTCTTCATGTCTCTTTTGCCACTCGGACTCGGCGTCACCTCCCCTTGGGGCGAGGCGATGGCACCTCATGCTGACCCCTCAGTGGGCCTCCCCTTGCTGCCAGCTGCCCCTGCTCCGAGGTGAATTCCTGCATAGCAGAGGGATAGGACAGGAGTGGGTGTCATCACGGCTGGTCCCAGGGAAGGTGTGACCTGTTTTCACCTTCCCACTTGGCCTTGCCCTTGGGTCACACAGGACCTCAGGCACAGGCCCTGTGCTCCTGTGCCCTGGGCACTTGCGTAGGTGCCAAAGCAAGCTTCGTGAGCCAGAAGGACTTGTGACCAGAGAAACACCATCTCCCTTGCGGATGGCTTGTGTCCCCTCCTGATTTGCAGGAGGCCCGTTGAGAGCACCATTCCCCTTGTCTCTGACTCACGCCTTCCCTGCGCCTGTGGGAGCTGGGAACAGCGCGCTCTTCTGCCTGTGGAAAGGGCAGAGAAGGGCAGGAGGTCAGGACACCCGGAGCATCCCTTTGTCTTCCCCTTCCAGTACTTACTCAGGGTGGGCATCCTGACCCAGAAACCTAAAACCTTGCATTAGAAATGCAGAGTCAGGAGATGAGAGAGAGCCCCGCCCTGCTCTTCCACTTCCCAAAGCCCTCATCAGGCCGGGGCCAGGAGGCAGATCCAAAGATGCAGCCCAGGTCTCTCAGGTGCAAGGCAGGAGGCAGAACCAGGACCCGAACCTGTGTGATGCAGCGTGGGACTGGGGTGTGTCAGTCACCAGGCTGGCCTCCTGCTCCACCAGATCGGGAGCTTTGTGAGTGTGGACATGATGCCCAGAAGTGTCTGAATTTGCAGCTTTTCGCAGTTTGGATAATCAGACTGAGAACGGTAGAACTGGCTGGGTCTGTACCAATCTCCACCCAGATCTCTTGACATTGGCAATCTTGCTGGTGCCAGAAATTGCAGCCTGACTGAACAATGAAATCAGGAGTTTTTAGACCCAATGCTCAGATGGAGAAAGCCAGCCTGGCATGCTGCCAGCAGCCCCTTTGGTTTTCTGTGTGTGGCTGCGGGCAGCTCCCCGGTGCCAGGGATGGGAGCAGGAGTTCGGGGCTCTGTTGGCCAGGCTGGAAGGGCCATATTGGCCATGCTGTAAGCCAGAGAATCAATAACGTGGTGTTTATTTCTGTTTTGTGTCGTGTGTGTGCATGTGCGTGCCCGTGCGGGTTTAGTTCAGGCAGCCTCTGCTAACGCCCTGTGGAAGACAAACGCCGTGAGCGTGGACGGGGGAAGCAGGCAGAGATCTTCGTCAGATCCGCCAGCTGTCCACCCGCCGCTGCCCCCTCTCCGCGTCACGTCTACCAGTACGTTTATTTTTTTTTCCTTCTTGCCAGGGGGCTCTGAGATCTGAAAGAGGGGTGGCACCGTCGGCAGTCACCTCGGGGAGAGGTTTGGGCCACACACACACTCTGCATAGACACGCACCAGGTGTCCACGGCAGTGTGGCCAGCCCCGGCTTTCCGCCTTGTCCCCCAACCTGCTGGCCACTGCCTCAGCTGCAAGCGTCCAGGCGGTGTGCCCGCTCTCTTCCTTAAGATCTAGCTGCATTTCGTCTCGATACTTAACTGTCCCAGGACCCCCGCTGTCATTGGGGAGTTTTCAGTATTTTGAGGTGCTCATTGGAATCGTTATCTAGCATGCTGTTTCTTTCTTTTTAACTGTCAACCTGTGGTTGAAAGTTCCCAAATGTTCCAGACAGAAGCAGGGATGGAAGAGGCCTTTGTCCAGCTTATTTTGCACAGAGCTGACTTCACTGTATCCAGTGGAGTGAGCTGTAGACTTGCCCCTGCAGCTCTCCTGCTCTGCCCCAGCTCCGGCAAGGAGGCACTGCCCAGGCCCAGGGACACAAATCATAGTCCTGGCCCCACTGCTTCAGGTGCCCCGTGTGCAGAAGGCAGCAGCCGATCCAGGGATAAGTGGCTAAGAGCATCTTCCAGAGGTTGCCCAAGGCCCTGGCCCTGGGTGGGACAAGGGATCCGGTGGAGACAGCCATGTGCAGCTGCAGGGCTGGGGCTGCAACCAGAACCACCAGTCGTCACCTCCAACAACGACAGCCAGTGTGCAAAGAGCCCAGGAGCCACGGCCCCTGGTCTGAGAGCTGTGGTGACTGCCAACGCCCTGGCCTCCACATGCCCACATGATGCTGGCACTTTAGTGTCATGATGGGTGCCCAAGAATGGCCAGTTCCTGGGGCAGGGAGCACCCAGCCTTCTAGGCTATCTCGGGGTCCAGGCTGAGAAAACACTGTCATGGGTACATAGCTCAGCGTGAGCCACACGTCTGGGTGGGTCTGGAAAGGCCCCCGCCAGCCCAGTCTCAGACACTGCAAGGTTTGCCACTGGGAGCCTGGCCTTGGTGCAGGGGCAGCCATCCTGGAGAAAGCTGCTCCACACTGCTCTCCTTTCTCTGCAGATCCTCTTACCCCCACGCCGCCCCCTCCCGTCGCCAAGACACCCAGCGTGATGGACACCCTGAGCCAGCCCAGCAAGCCTACCCAGCCTGGGGTCTCGCAGAGCAAGGCCCCACCCCTGCCGCCCCAGCCGCCCAGCCGTCTCCCCCAGAAGAAGCCGGCTCCTGGGTAAGCCCTGGCCCAGGCTCTGGCCATCCTGGCTTCAGGTGGTTCATGGAAAATGCAATTAAGAGAAATCTTGAAATGCACACATGATTTTCCCAGAACTGCTGAGGTCCCTGCATGAGAGTTTGAGCTTTCTCGAGTTTCTAAGTGCTGCAGTGGCTGAACTCGGGCATCGTGTAACTGACCTGCCAGGTCTTAAACTCATCAAGGATTTTGTGAGCTGTGAGTGTTTCATTTAAAATGTAGATCTTTAATACACATGCTGAAATGAGACTTAGCACAAACACTGGCCCATGGGCCCAATCCAGCCACTACCTGGCTCTCCAAGTCATGGGAGCTGAGAATGGCTTTTGTGTTTGTAAATGGTTGGGAACAAATCAAGAGCATATTTGTAAATTTCCTCAAGATTCAGAGAGAGCTTTCATCCATTGCTTCACTCCCCTAAGGCCCCCAAGGGCCAAGGACCAGGAAGTCAGTGTGGGTGTCCCATGTGAAAGTCAGGGAAGAAACCATGCGAGCCATCACTTCCCCCTGCTGTGGCGCACGTGAACAGGGAGCTGGCCTCAGGAGTGCCACTGGGACTCAACGTGGCACTGTGATATGGCACATGGGTGTCTCTTTACTGGCCAAATGCATAGTGCTATGAAGATGATAAGGAGCTCAGGCTCCTGTGCCCATGGCAGTGCTGGCACACAGCCTCACCATTCATGCAGGCTACTGTCTAAGGGGGCCAAGCCGGCCCAGGGCTCCCCCAAGGCTGGGAGTGCTGGGGGCCGGGGACAATGATTGTCCACCAAGGCTTCCACACCCAGGCACTGGTGGAGATCAGACGGGGGTACCAGCCAGTGTCACGTCTTCACCTTCCTTCCCAGCCTGTGGACACCACAGACCAAGGCAGGTCCCTTCTGGGTGGTTTAAGAAGTGCCCACCAGACATGGCAGGTGTGGCAAGACTTTCATCCTTGGCTTTCCTCCCCATCTCCTGATCTGGCTCCATGCCAGCTCCACAAGGATGCCAGCAGTGGAGCTGGGTGCCTGTGCGCAGCCCGTAGCCCGGATCCCACAGACAGGGTGCCTTGGGTGAGCCTTGGTGTTAGCGCCTTGGATCTAACACATTGTTCTGGACTTCTAGTTTTACCTTTTTTAGAGAAAAGACAGCTGATACACCTCCCGTCCCCTCCTGCAGGCTGACCTCAGGCGGCTCCCTCAACAGAGGAACAGGGAGGGGCAGGTGGCCCCAGGTTGCAGTGTGTCTGTTTTTCTCTTCTCTGCAGGGCTGACAAGTCAACCCCGCTGATCAACAAGGGCCAGTCCAGGGGACCTGGTAATTATCACCTGCAGGCCTGGCTTTTGGGGGCTGAGTGGGGACACTTGCAACTGGGTGATGAGCCTGGGTGGGCCCCCACCATTTCCGGGCCAGGGCAGCCGGGCTCCTGGGGCTGGTGCCTCTTTCTCGGGCCCCTCCTGCTAACATGAGCAGGTTGGGGAGCCCCGGGACACTCACAGGCCTGTCTGAGACAGAAGGTTCTTTGGCACATGGGGGACGGGGGAGGGTAGAGGATGATGTCCTTCCCCACCTGAGAAGGGGCACATCCGGGGAAGTGGGTTGTCAGACACCCCCCCCCCCCCGAACCCCTGAGTTGGCTTCCTGCCTTAGAGATCGCCAGGGCATCTTATAATGTTGCTTCCTCTTGGCCCTGTGGCAGGAGACATCTCAGGAACAGAAGCTCTGGGTACTCTGTCCAATGCCATGGTCCTGCAGCCCCCTGCGCCCATGCCCAGGAAGTCACAGGCGGTAAGCAGCTGGCGTCACACCCTTCCTGGCCTCTTGGCTGGCCAGAGCGGCACAGGGCTTCTCCCAGGGCCCTCCTCCTTGGGACTGCTTCCTGGTAACCAGCCTCTCAGCTCTTGTCAGCCTCTGGGCTGGCCCTCATGCTGCAGCCCCAGCACAGGCCCCTCCTGGAGTGCCAGGCCCGGCCGCTTGGCTTCCCGGCTCTCCCTCCTGGCCTCTCACTCAGCCAAGATGTTTCCCTCCCTGGCTCCTGAACTGCACACCTATCTGGCCTCAGTGTCCAGGGTCTCCCAGGCCTGGGCCTCCTGAGCTCAGCCCAAGCAGTGAGGCCCGTCCTCTGGCCCCGTGCTCAGGCCACTGCCAAACCAACACCTGCCTCCTCCCGTCCCCATGCAGACCAAGTGGAAGCCCAAGCGAGTCAAGGCGCTCTACAACTGCGTGGCCGACAATCCGGACGAGCTGACCTTCTCCGAGGGCGATGTGATTGTCGTGGACGGCGAGGAGGATCAGGAGTGGTGGGTGAGTCGGGGTTGTGTCCCCAGGAGCTTGGGACTGTGCTGCACCCCAAGTCACTTGGCTCAAAGCGAGGTTCTGGCCCGAGGGTCCACTCTGTCCCTGGTGTCTTTCCACCTTCTTGCTCATGCACACACACTTCCTCAGGGAACTGATGTGTCTCCATGGTGGGCTGGTTAACAGGCCACCCTGGCTGCGATGTCCAGAGCCCCGGGGAGGGTCTCAGGGGAGACCACTACGTTAGTGCAGGGAGAGCTGCCAAGAGGCCAGAGGTGCTCATGCCTGCTGGCTGCTCAGGCATCTACATGGGTGCCGGGGGATCTCGGGGCTTCCCTGGGGAACCCCAGAGTTCAAACTCAGCCACTCCAAGGCTGGTGAACCAAGGCTGTGTCACATAGGTCTTCACACTTCAGCATCTGGAGCAAAGGAGTCGCCGTACCCTTCCCTGAGCACCACTAAGGGGGGTGGGAGTGACCCCAGGAAGAAACCTGCAGAAAGCTTCCGGCAGAGCCTGCCACATGGTCACCCTCGTGTCCAGGCTGCACCCAGGGGCTCAGGGACTCAACAGTGCCAGTTGTGGCTCCTATAGGACTTCAGAAGGCCCTCTGCTGTGGCAAGTGCAAGGCAAGCTACTGCTGCCCTTGGCACAGCTCCATCCCTGCAGAAGTGTGGTCGTTGGTGTGGCCCCTGCCCTGAGGGATGGGAGTGTCTGCTGGCAAGGTCCCTTTTCCATCCATGTGCTCAGCACAGGCTGCAGAGAGCCCCTGCCAGCCACTTGTGAGCTGCCCGGGGCTGGGAAGGCCAATCTGTACCCCTAGACCCACTGGCCAGCATAAGCAGGCAGGCAGGCCTGCAGCCCGAGGGCGGTGGGACTGCAGTGTAATGGTGGGTGTAGAGAGAAGCAGCTGTTGCCCAGAATCCCAGTCCTGCTCCCAGCTCTGAGCTCCACGCACACAGCCCCGCCCATCCACCTTTTGGATTCCCTTTTGCCTGCACGTTTCACACGGTTGGGACCATACTCAGTATCATTCATACAGGTTACCCAGAGCAGAATTAAGTGGATCTGAACCTTCCACCGAAGCTTGGCAAAATGCAAATAGAGCCACGACATGTCCTACCTGGGCACTTTTTTGTTTTGAAACCTCAGGGGCCAGGCACGTGGAAAGGTAGCTATGCCATGTGTCCCAGCGGCCTGAGTGTCCAGCCTTGTGTGTGGGATGAGAAAGGTTCAGCAGTGCAGCTGCTTCTGGCAAGTCTGTGTTAGCAGGGTCTGTACCAAGTGCAGTGACGCCCTTGGGAGCGTCCCTTGGGAGCCTTGGGAAATCTCCCCAACAACCGACCCTTTGACTCGTTGCAGATCGGCCACATCGACGGAGACCCCAGCCGCAAAGGAGCGTTCCCCGTGTCATTTGTGCACTTTACCACCGACTGAACTGCTGCGGAACAAACAGTGGCGCTTTTCCCAGCTGTCCCTCTTTCGTCACTGGTACCGACACCCTTGCCCAGGTACCGGTTTCGTGAACTGAAAAGTAGCCCATTTTTTTCAAACACCTCTGTTCTGTTTTACAAACTCGAAGGTCGTTTTTTATATCTTGGTGGTTTTTATAATTTGTGATTATCATGAAACATTGCTATACCTTTCTTAGGGAGAACCAAATTACCTAAAAAGGTGAACAGAAGAGTTATTTTAACTACACAAATCCCTAGAGTGTGCACAATTTAACTACACATCCCTAGAGTGTGCTCAGACAAAAAAATCCTAAGAGCTTTGGATATTAACTCTTCTTGCTCCCCTTCACCCAGTTATGGGATTGGCGACCTTTAGTGCAACTAGTATTTTAGGGAGCCAGTTAACTGCCATTTCAGGGGTCCACTGCCCAGCCCTGGACTTTGATACTTGCCATTAGTTCACCTCTAAACACATCTAGTCCTTGGAAACCCACTCAACGTTTGCTTCAAGCAACCTGGAAATGTACCCACAGGCCTTGTCCTTCCTAGTCCCGGCTTGAGAGGGTGGAGCCATCACTATATTCTGCATGTGTGTGACCTGTTGTGAACAATCATACTTAAACTACTGATGCTCTGTTAACCTACACCAGGGTGGTGGGCGGGCATGCCAGTTAAGGCCGTTCTGGGAGGCTTTTGGCCTGCAGTTCCTGACTCCAGTGGCAAGCCAGGGACGACGGATTGCAGGTGTCCTGGCAACGCATCTGCAAGCCAGGTGTTTTTGTTCCCCTTACCTCCCTGAGCTCTCAGACGGCAGCTGCCCCGAGCAGCACTCCAGCACGGTCCGTGCCGGCTGCTCATGTTCCTTGCTGGCTCCGGTGAGATCCCACTGCTTCCCTTTCTTCTAGCTCCGAGAAAGTCCCTCAGCTTCGTGTCGTGTATTTATAGAACGTGTCGACAGGAAACCTGTCTGGAAATCTACCCTGTCCACTTGTGTGTGCTTTGAGTGCCTGCCAGGACCCCGTAGGTCCCGGAGGGTGGAGTCCTCCCACAACCCAGTTGTACTTTAAAAGCCATCGTAGCATTCCCTACACATATACTGCTTGGGGAAGGGTGGGGTTAGCTTGTATGTGATAAAACCAAAACTCATTAGTCTGATGAACTCTGTCATACCTCTTTGCAGTTGTTGAGCGTGCGATTCCTGTAGGAATATTGGAAAGTTTGGCACTGTTTGAGAAGAGCTGGGTATCTGGTGCCTGCTTGGGTTTTTAACAAAAGTAAAGGGACAAATTGCAGTCCAGGCTTGGAGAGCAAGGCAGCAGTGCTGGCTGTGGGATGGTACATTGGACGGAAGCGGCATAGTAGGCGAGACTTCCAAGAGTAGCTTTTGTTCAGTTTCTTAGCACTGTAGCTTTTGTTTGCTATCATAAAGGAAGACCGAACAAACTGGAATATTTTATGATGTTGCATAGCTTTTTTTTTTTTTTCTCCTTTTAAAGTTCTGGTGAAATGTGTAATTAGCCTTTTTCTTTTTAAAGCACTACATGTATTTTCACTAATTGTTAATTTCTGTTGTTTGAACCCTCCATTTAGTTAACTTCCTCGCAGATTGAAGAGGGTAAGCGGATGTATTTTGCACAGTGCACTTCTTAAGCCTCTCTCAGTGCTCCTGCATCTGCACCCTCGCCTCGAGGCTAGCCGGGGCTGCGGCTGGACGGCTGATCCAGTCCCCAGACTAACCTGTCAGGCTCGCTGGTACATACATATCTAAGAAATATTTTCCCAGTCGACAGTTTTGTGGTGCTATTGTGCAGCAATGAACAGTACTCTTGCCAGTGGAGAAATTATACTAACTTCCCTGCTAACATCCTTTCCTGTTTATTTGCTCTTTGCAAATAAAAAAAAAAAAAAGAGAGAGAGAGAGAGAGAAAGGAAAACATTGTAGATATCTATTTATATTTAAAGTTTATGTTTCATGGACTTGGGCTGTAGGATTCGGCATGTCGCGTGCCACTTTCCCCAGCTCCAGCCTTGGGGACGCTGGCTTGGTCATGGCGCACGCGGAGACGGATGGGTGACGGGACGTGAAGCTTGGAACACTGTCCTGAGGTGTATGATATTCAGTTCATTCAATTCCTTTGGTCTAGTTGCAGCGCGACTGTATATATTGTATAACCTAGATTGATTCTTATTTTCATTGTCCTTAATGCATTGATTTATAATTAGAGCATGTCTAATAAAGTTTACTCCTCTTGTTAACTAGTCATTTGACTGGAAAAAAAATAAAATACTTTTAAATGGATATTGGTTCATTTGTAAGGTTTTCATCTTTGAAGTGCTGTATGTTGACAAACTTATTCAAAAATTTTTTTTTTGGAAAGACACGGTTACAGAGACTGTGAGAGAGACTGAAAGAGGTGGGTATCTTCCATCCGCTGGTTCACTGCCAAAATGTCCGTAATGGCTAGGGCTGGACCAAACTAAAGTCAGGGGCCAGAAGCTTCTTCCAGGTCTCCTAAGTGGATGCAGGGGCCCTAGCACTTGGGCCATCTTCCACTGCTTTCCCAGGCATATTACCAGGGAGCTGGATCTGAACTGGAGCAGCCATACTCAGACTGGCACCCATACTTGATGCCTGCGTCACAGGCAACAGTTTAACATGCTGTGACACATGTGAGTCTGCCAGTCCTTAGACAAGGCACAGCACACTGTGGTTACTCTTCAATCTGTGTTATTTCTGTAAGAACCGTCATCTTCTAAGCTTCTCTTAATTCTCACGAGAACACTGGAATTCATTAGCGTGTTATCTTCCCTTTTATTTTAATTTTTGGAAGACAGAAAGATTTTCATCTATCGCTTCATTCCCCCCAAATGCCTGCAAAAGCCAGTGCTGGGCAGATCAAAGCCAGGAGCCAGCAACGACACGTGGGTTGCAGAGACCAAGCACTGTGGCTATCTACCTGCTGTGTCCCCAGGGTGGACAGTAAGGAAGCTGGAACGGGAAGTGGGGGAGCCAGGACCTGCACCGAGGGACTGTGACATGGCAATATACTTCCACAAATGGACCCTTGAACTTGGTGTCATTCCACAGGAGCAGGAGCTGGGTCGGGGATGCAGCCTCCGGAAGCTGCGCCCACCTCCCTCCCCCAGGAACAGAGTTCCGGAATGTCACAGCAGGGACATTAGGCCCTGGGTGCGAGGCTTACCTGCACTGAAGGTTACAAATGAGGTTTCTTTTTTTATCCCAGAAAGAAGAGAACTTCACTGAGTCATTATGGCATTTTAATATAAAAACAATTAATAGTGTCAGCGCTGCACTCTCCCCAGGACGTGAGGACAAAGGATGACTTCATGTTCCCGGAACAGCTCAGCACTGCAGACACCCGGGTTCAGACTCGAGCCAGACACCGACAGGCTGCCAGGACTCAAGACTTCTCAGATGTGAGCGCAGAGTCGAAAGCGGTGGACAGCACCTTGCAGATGGCCTGTGCCTGCTCCTACATCAGGGAGGAGACAGAGCAGCAGTCCTCGGTCTGCCTGTGCCTCCTGTGACCGGCAGCCGTGTGAGCCAGAACACATCTATGCCAGCCGGGGTGGGCCTGCGCACGGGGGGTCCCGCCTGCTCTCCCCCACAGCACAGCAGACACCAGTAGCACATGGGTGCCATGGCCCATGAGCATCATGGTCATGGGGACAGGGAGACACTGTCAGCCACAGCGCTCCTGGGCCATGCAGGATGCAGCCCTACCATCTGCTATGGTCCACCCTGGCCCATTAGGGTCCAGGCACAAGTGGGCGCTGCTGTTGGGCCCCCACTCCCACCAGGTGCGCCAGGCCTAGGCGGCAGCTGACCTAGGGCTTCTGCCAGGCCAGGAACCAGCCACATCATGGATGGTACATTCCTGTCCTCTGCAGTCTGTTGACAGCCTCTAGGCTTGGCTATGTAGCCTGAGAGCTAGAAGCTGACTGAGGGACGGCAGGCCTCACTGGCTGAGGACTAGGGGCTGACTGGGAGGCGAGACCCCCAGGCTGAGGGCAAGAGGCTGACCAAGGACACAGGCCTTACCAGGCTGCTGCACTGGTACACCCACAGGCTGTACTCTTCGTTGCTTGCGTCGGTGGTCTTCAGAGCCAGGAGGCTCTTCCCCGCCCCCAGCCCGTCGTCATAGCACACCATGCGGATGATGAGGTACAGGGCGTGCCTGTGTAGAACATCCTGTGGCAGGGACAGCACAGAGACAGGGACATCAGTACTGCTCTGGGTGCCTGCAGCCCCATCTCCCCACGCAGGACGCAGCATGTCCTCACCCAGGACGCTTTTGTAGGCTCACCGACAGGGCAGGCTGTCTGCAGCACCATGCCTCCCTCCCTAGACTCCCAGCTCCGCTCTTGGCCACTCTGATGCGATGTGGCATGATAAGACATGGCATGGGGTCCCCCGCCAATGGGCTGCACCTACGCGGTGCATCAAGGACACCCCTGTCCCTGCACAAGAAGCGGCCACATTTAGGACTGGCTGTTGGAGGTTACCAACCAGCTGCTCCACACACATTGCCTCTGCTAGGACATGCCCACCCTCACAGTTACTTACATACTGATCTGACGTGGACACTTTGATGCCATACTTGGAAACTCCCATAATAAATTCTTCCTCCAGTGGAACAAAAGGCAGCTTTCCATCTTGCTTTAAAGTAAAGATAACATGACATGAAATGTAGGTAGTCTGACTTGTCACTGGGGGTGCCACACCCTCACCAGAGTGAGAGCCACATCAGCCTAGCAGGGCCCTCTCCAGGGACAGGACAGCGCATGCTCTGTCCCCTTTGTCTTCCTGTTCACCCTCCTTACAAGCTGACATCCTTCTCACGGATCCTGGTGGAGTTAGGATCCTTGCAGCAGAAAACAGAAGGGCTTGACTTGGATGTGAACATCCCCAAAGTTAAGGTGGGTGTCAGCACAGGGCACGTGGAAGGCGGACTGCAGACACCGAGCTTCCCAGTGGAGAGCACCTGCCCACTGCTTGCTGCCCCAGGGCTGCAGACTGGCAGGGACTGGTGGGGAACAACGTTAGTCAGTGTTCTGAAATATTTACAAACAAGACAGCCGGTGCCACCTTGTGATTTCTGTCTGATCTGTCCTCTCTCGGGTAAACCAGGCGTCACTGGCCAGCAGGCATGCTCTGCTTCACCAGTGTCTGTGGAAACACCAGTTAACCAGCTGTGTCCGTGCCTCTGACTGTTTGGGATGGATGGCACAGTTATCTTAGCCTGTCTCAGGAGATTTACTTGTGGCTGAGCCCCTCATTCAGACCACACAGAACAGCCTTGTAAGACAGAGAAGGCGGGCTGCACCTGGCCCAGTGGTCAGGGGTTCTTCACCCCCATGAGGAGGCCAGGATGGACACCTAGCTCCTCAGCTTCTTGCAGTGCAGACTGCCCATAGGCCAGGCTGGATGGAGCTCTGCCCCCAGCTCGGCCTCGCCCAGCGTGGCGGGCCTTTGGAGAGGGCCCAGGCACCCTGTCTCACCACCTTGTCTGTTCCCATGTGACATGCACTCATGACCACAGAGCACACTGGGTGTGTGTGACTGTGACGTATGGCTCCAGCAGGCCACTGAGGACTGTCCCCCTCCTGGAGCGGAGCCCGGGAGAACAAATGTCCCCTCCCAGAGCCCCGTGTGTGTCCCTGCAGCCATCTCAGAAGCAGCCAGAGGCTGGGCCGCAACTTTCAGACCTGGGCAACGTCTATGTAGTTGATCAGCTCCAGTGGTCCCTCAAGACTTTTCCCCTCGGAGATTTTCAGTTTTTCAATGGCACCGACGTATTTTATTCGGAATTCTGCACAGGTGTCTAAATTATTGTTGCTTTGTCCTAAAGGTGAAAGAAACAGTGTCATGTTAGGCTTCAGCAGAGGCATCGCATGGCAGAGCACCCTGGGGTCCCTCCAGAGACCTGCCGTGAATTCTAAATGTTCCAGAGGCCAAGCTGCTTTACTTGAAAAAAGGAACCTGCCGCTTCGGTAACCTCACTGGACCGAAGGGCTCAGCAGTGGGCTGGTAAAGATGGACTCATTCTAGAACAAGCCAGAGAAAGCAAAGAGCCAACTACAAGATAGACACCTGAGACCCTCACAAGGCCAGGGATGTGGTAATTTTTTAGTTTCTTCCTCTTCCCGGGAATTTGCCCTTCCTGATCCCGGAAGCCTGCTTTCTGTCCACAGTTCAGTCAGGGAAGGGCGGATAGCGCTCACTTTGGACGGATGGAAGGGCCCACCCGGGGAGTCCGGCACACAGGAAGTGCCATGTGACTCCTTCAGGAAGCATGTACACAAATACTGCCACCTGCGGTTTGGATACTTTAAGGGAATCCAGAAATGAGGGCAAGGTGGACTTCACACCACAGAATCTCCATAGCTCCCCTCCCCTGTGCTGAGAGAAGCAGGATTATACACTGCGCAAGTGAGGCAGGCCTTTTCTTTTTTTATTTTTATCGGAAGGTCAGATCTACAAAAAGAAGGAGAAACAGAGAAGGATCTTCTGTTCTCTGGTGCACTCCCCAAGTGTCTGTAACAGCCGGAGCTGAGCCAACCCAAAACCGGGGGCCAGGAGCCTCTTCCAGGTCTCCCACATGGATGCAGGGTTCCAAGGCTTTGGACTGTCCTCTACTGCTTTCCCAGGCCACAAGCAGGGAGCCGGATAGGAAGTGGAGCTGCGGGGACACAAACTGGCACCCATGTGGGATCCCAGCGGTTACAAGGCAAGCATTTAGCCATTACTCTGTCGTGCCAGGGCTGCAGGGCATTTCCAGTGAGCAGTGCCTAAGGGAGCCCTATTAGCTCTCTTGGGAGTGTCTGCACGAGGTGCCAACAGACGCAGCCCTCACTGTCAGCTGTGCTCCATCCACTGAGATATTCATCCTGTGCCCACGCTGGCTCTGAGCTATCTCCTCAGGATGCTCTCAGACATTCTGCTTTGGGGCTCACGAGGAGCAGTCTGCTCAGAGGCCGGAGCCAACTTGTAGGGCCCTGGCTTTCCCTGCCTCACCCCAGCCATGTACACCCCACAACTCATCCCAGCCCACACTCACCAACCTCACCCAAACCCACATCCTCCTGCCTCACTGCAGCCCACTTCTCTCCACCTTTGGGTCCATTCCTGAACTTGTCCAGAGGGGTGGCGGAAAGGAAGACCCGGCAGACACATACGGGTACACTGTGCTGCAGGGGAGGCCACCTGGCCACGCAGAGGGCCGGCCAGGAGGGACCCGCCGCTGGCACCCACCTGAGCTCTTCGTGGAGTCTGTGTCAAGGCTGGCCACTGTGCTGGATCGCGAGAGGCCCCCCAGGCTGGAATCCACAGACTGAGAGAAAAAATACATGAGACCCCACGTCGGAAGAGGCCTACCTTCTTGGACATTCTCTACCAAACACACCCTTCCTCTCCCCTCCCCCTCCCCTCCCCCTCACCTTGCTCTTGGTGCTGATTTCGCTGCTCTGGGAGCTGCTGCTGCTGTGCCGCTTCTTGCCTTTCCGGAACATTCTCACCACTGCATGGTCCAGAGGTTCCCCCGCAAGCACACGTGTGCTCGTCACAGTCCCTGCAGGAAGAGCCACATGGATCCCTCTGGTTCCGGATCGTTCTTTCTCTTAACAACCTCAGTACACACTAGGCTTCTCCAGTCTTTTCTTCCTACTGGATCACAAATCAGCTTAATCAAAGGGGAGGGGGAGCCAGAAGCCTACATGGTGGGTCGGGGAGGGAAAAGCGAGAAGTGTTTTTCCTAAGCAATAGATGGAAGCCATCCAGTTCTCCAAAAACTCAGAAGCTGGGAGCCTGGAGCTCCTTCCAGCTCTCCCCTCTGGGTTCTGGGGCCCAAGCACGTGGGTCACCCCCCACACTGCTTGGGCCCCAGAGTCATTAGCAGGGAGCTGGATTGGGAGTAAAACGTCTAGGACTCAAACCAGCATCATTAGGGGATACCAGCCCCACAGATGGAGGCTTAACCTACTACGCCATGGTGCCAGCCCCCTCATTGTCCAGTTTCTGTTTTTTCTTTAGTTGTAGGGTATCTAAGAAACCTATTTCGTTCATTCCTCATTCCTTCCTTCTCAGCAAGCTCCTACTCGGTGCCAGGGACACAGCAGCAGACAACAGAGCCCCTGAGCGTGCTGGAGGAGACACCCCAAACCGAAGACACCTGCCAAGTTGTTGTCTATCAGCCTCATAGTCCAGGAAAGCAAGTTAGGGTGATGCAGTGATGGGAGGAAGGGAGAGTTTTTTAGATAGAAAAAAGAGGGGAGCTGCACAAGGTGGGGGAGCAGTGCAGGAGTGGGGGGCTCTCTGGTCACTGGGGTGAGGCGGGGCAGGGCAGGAGAGCAGGTTGTGGGGCAGACGGACTTGCAGCCCCCAGGACAGTCACGGTTGGAGGTGGGGTTCAACAGGAAGTTTCCAGGAAACAACTCTGGCCTCCACGCAGGGAACTCGGCCCTACCATGGCTAAGGGCCGAGAGGAGCCCCACTGTGGGCAGTGAGCCCAGCCACCAGGCCACGAGACGGGTGGCAGGAAGGTCTCGGGCCTAGGACCGCACCGAACTGGCACCAGCCGATGGGGAGTCCCCAGGACAAGGGACACAGAGGGCATGAGGAGAGGCCCTTCCCTGCCCACACATGCGGCCTGACAAGGCAGGGGACGTGCAGACACCAGGGGAGTGGGTGCTGGTCACCACAGAATGCCTCATCAATGTCACCATGGCAACACTGGAAGAGTCTGCTGTGTTACCCAGCATGCCGCTGGCGCTGGTGCAGACAAACCAGGGCGAGTCCTGCCAGGAGAGTGAATGTGTGTGTGGGGCATAGTCAGCAACCAAGAGCTGTGACGGCTTCCTGAGGCAGCGAAGGAAGACCATCTGTGTGCTGCAAGTCATCTCTGGACTGCTGACCCGTGTGACACCAGGGAAATGCTTTCGATGTGATCAGCAAGGAGTGGTCACCACAGGATAACAGGACACCCACATGCTCAGGACAAATGCAGTTTGTCTTCTTGACTGCTTCTGACCCAGGATTGGTGCCCCACAGGCAGACTGTGGATGGGGAGCGCCGACTACACGCTGAAGTGCAGTTAGTCGTACCACTGACTGAATGAAATCAGACATGTCTACAGTGAGGGGAACCCCAAAGCACCTCCTCGGGTCTGCAGAACACAAGAAAGATTTGGAAATGACCCCGTATTAAGGCTGCGCAGCCCCTCAAGTCTCCTGTCCCAGACCTCTCAAAACAAGCATTTATTACATCGCCAATAGCTGACCTGAGGCACCTTCTTAAGCACACTGATTTGTTTTTAAAAAGTTTGTTTATTTGGAGGTCAGAGCTACACAGAGGAGTTACCATCCTCCAACCATCTGCTGGGCCACTCTGCAGATGGCTGCAATGGCCAGGGCTGGCCAGGCTGAATCCAGCAGTTTCATGGGGTCTCCTATGCAGGTGCAGGGTCCCAAGCACCTGGCAATCCTCCGTTTTCCAGGCTCAGAGAGCTGGACTGGAAGTGGAGCAGCTGGGACGTGAACCAACACCCACACAGAATGCTCAAGTAGCGGTTTTACCCTCTGTGTCACACTAGGCCCACGATACTACTGTCACTTCACATGCAAAAAGTTCCAAAGCTGGATACTTCATCTTGCCTCCCTCCTCCATCCCGGGAAGTTACCTTGTAGTTGCACAGCCCACTGCCTCGGGGGGTCCTGGCCCCTGTCACCTTGCACAGTGCCCGGAAGGCAGAACTGCTGGGGCCCGAGGAGCACCTGGCCCCGAGTCACCTGTCACCTCCTACCTTGCAGGTTGCCGCCTCTGCCAGAGAAGGGCTGGGTTGGGGGACAGGAGCAGGAGTGTCCACGCTCACTCTGCCGCGGATCCCCGAGGCTGTAGCGGATCTGACACCTGTCAGGGTGTCCGCCACCAGCGGGATGCGGGGAAGGCCACGGCACCAGAAAGGGACGCCCTCACGCCTCGCCTCGCTCGGGGGCACACACGCGCGGGCCTGGCCACGGGACCCAGCCCTGCCCGGCCAGCGACCCCACCCATCCGCCTGCACGGCTGCCCCCCGGACCGCGTCCCGCTCGCCGGCCCCGCCCGAGCGATGCCCCGGGCGCTCACCTCGCCGCCGCGGGCCCAGCCCGGGGGTCGCCGGCGCTCGGAGCTGGGCACAGCCGCGGGCACCCGGCCGGCTCACTCCAGTTCCCACTCCAGCGCCAGCTTTTCCAGCCCGCCTCGCCCGGGCTCGCGCAGGCGCGGTCCCGCCCCTAACGCCCTGGCCCCTAACGCCCTGGCCCCCACGGAGCTTGGAACCTCGCGCTCCCGGCTCTGGGACCGGAAGTCGGGCGGAGCTTCAGCCCTGAGCGCGCCAGGGAGGCGGAAGTGGTGCTCTTGCAGGGCCCGGTGCTTCCTGTTTGGGGGCTGCAGGGCTTGTGTCCGGGTTTCGGGAAGGAGTGCGGCGGCCTGCGCCATCCCCGCATTGCTCCCTCAGATAGCCGGGATGTCTTCGATTCCTGCTGAGGAGAGCGACCAGCTGCTGATCCGACCCCTGTAAGGGAGCAGCGAGAGAGGAAGGGGAGCCCCGGGCTGGGTGAGGGGAGAGGAAGGGTCCCTGGAGCTGATGTGCTCCCCGGAGTCGCCCGCTCGGCCAGGCTCCATCCCCGGTGTCCCCCATTCAGCCATGCTCCATCCCCAGGGTCCCCGCTAGGCCAGGCTCCATCCCCAGGGACCCCCACTCAGCCAGGCTCCATCCCCAGGGTCCCCACTCATCTAGGCTCCATCCCCAGGGTCCTCGCTAGGCCAGGCTCCATCCCCGGGGTCCCCACTCATCCAGGCTCCATCCCCGGGGTGTCCGCTAGGCCAGGCTCCATCCTTGGGGTCCCCGCTAGGCCAGGCTCCATCCCCAGGGACCCCCACTCAGCCAGGCTCCATCCCCGGGGGTCTCCCATTCAGCCAGGCTCCATCCCCGGGGTCTCCGCTAGGCCAGGCTCCATCCCCGGGGTCTCCGCTAGGCCAGGCTCCATCCCCAGGGACCCCCACTCAGCCAGGCTCCATCCCCGGGGGTCCACCATTCAGCCAGGCTCCATCCCCGGGGTTTCCCACTCGGCCAGGCTCCATCCCCGGGGTCCCACATTCAGCCAGGCTCCATCCCCAGGGTCCCCGCTAGGCCAGGCTCCATCCCCGGGGTCTCCGCTAGGCCAGGCTCCATCCCCAGGGACCCCCACTCAGCCAAGCTCCATCCTTGGGGTCCCCGCTAGGCCAGGCTCCATTCCTTGGATTATCCTTCTGGGCCAGGCTCCATCCCCCTGAACCCGCCCTGGTTCTGGGGTTGGCAGGTGCCTACTAACTTGAGGGGTTTTGTATTTTTTTCTGTCTCCGAGGAGGATGTGTAGGAGTTGAAAGAAGTTCTTTAGTTTGCAGATGTTGAGATTTACTGCCTCAGGTGCTGCAGTCTCTTGAAACCTGCTGTGAATAGCTTGTGCTGTGAGAGACTGTGCTGCGTTGTGATGTGCTGTGCTGTGAGGGACTTGTGGAACGCTGTGGAGAAGGCGACATGTGAGCGGGACCCTAATGATAGAAAGGGCCCATCCTGCCAGTATCTGTGGGAAGAGCCCCTGGGGTGAGAGAACAGATGCAGCATGGCATGCAGCTCTTAGATGTCAGGGGCATTTAGTGCTCTCTGAGGTTGACGAGACCAGTCTGGGCCGTGGAGACTCTGCAGAAATTGGCATGTGGAAGACTGAGAAAGGGCCCAGGAGAGAAGCTGAGACACCAGCATTGAAGGGTGGGCCACTCCCTGGCTAGACACCTGAACTTGGGAAGGAAACCCAGAAAGTTCCGGATTGGAGCATGGAGGCAGAAAGGCCCAGAGGGTTGCTGGGGGGACCCTGCTCCCCATGTGGGAGACCCCCTGGAGTTCCTGCCCCTGGCTTTGGCCTGCCCTCCCTGGCAGTGGCGGCCATTGGAGAAGTGAACTAGCAGGTGGAAGAGCTCTCTAACTGCCTTTCAGATAAGGAACAAGTAGCTAGGTGATGAAGTGGCTGTTTGCACTGTCAAGAGGGACGGTTTCAGAAACCGAATTGTAGGGAGTGGAGTCCACGGAAGGCAAAGGGACATGGAGTGTGTGTTCCTTTAGAAGCTGACTGGGAAGGAGTGGAATTGGAGCTGAAGGAACCTGGAGTTTTGGGGAGGGAGAGTGCCTAGAATATTGCAGGTCATGTGGTAAAGGGGCTGGTGGGTGGCTGAGGGGATGAACTTGTCCAGTGAGCCATCCTTCTGAATCCAGGGAAGAAGAGGACAAGGGTTGGGAAAGAAGAAAATTGGAAAGCTGATGTGAAGCTGAGCTCAGGGCACGGGTGCCCCCAGCGAGCTGGTCACGTGGGCGGGTGGTGATTCGGTTGTGGTTACTGCAGCCAGCTCGGGCAGCTTGAGGGTGGACAGGTTTGGCCATCGATCTTCAAGGAGGCTGGAGTTCCTTGAGGCCAGGGTCCCCAAGGGCCACACTTGTCTCCTTGGCAAGGGGAGCAGGTTGTTGCAGGTTGAGTTTCTTGGGAGAGGAAAGGTGTCACAAGGGAGGGGTTCACAAAGCGAGTGCGTACACATGCCCAGTTGAAGCTGGAACCCTTGTCTGCTCCAAGAGTTTCCCAAGAAACTGACTGAAAAGGGACTGGAATTCACAAGGCAACTGCATGCTGGGCCCTGTGGAAGGTCGAGGGGTTCTGAAGGGCCTGCTTTATGCATCACTGCTGGTGGACACATAAGCCTCTCCTAGTTTGATCCTGACATTCAGAAGCCTGAGCTTAACCTTGGGCTTCCGGGGCTCGCAGCACCCTCTGACAGCTGCAGAAGGCCTGCCCTCCTGGGCTGCAGCACCCTTCATCTGTCCATGTCATTACCATTTGTAGAACTCCCCACTGGCAGAAATTTCAAGTGAGTCGTCATCATCAAAGGTGACAGTGTAAGTTGTTAAAAGGTTTAAATCTGTAGGGCTCCATCCAGACTGTTCTGAATTTGTTTTTATCTTTCTGTTTACAGGGGAGCTGGACAGGAAGTAGGAAGATCATGTATTATTCTGGAGTTCAAAGGAAGAAAAATCATGGTAATTACTATTTCTGTGCATTGAGTGGCTCTGTCTGTATGGTGTGTTAGGTCTTCGGCCGGCTGGTCACCTCCCAGAAGCATGTTAACAGTACTGTGTTAGTACCTTGCTGCAGAACAGAGCGAGGACGGCTGGCCCACGTGCTGAGTTCACAGAATCAGCTGGTCCGGGTCTGTCAGGGCAACCAACGGCAGGACTTGGAGTTCAGTAGATTCCTAGCAGGCTGGTGTCTCAGTAATTGGCTCTGTGTGGTCACGAATGCTGTGAAGCTCCAAATGGTCCTGGGCAGAGAACGGTTCCCATTCCTGCTGCAAAATGTTCATGTGGAAAACTAGTACACATGTCTGCTTGGTGATTTGAAAAGCATTGAATAAGCTGAGAGGATGTGTGGAGTTGCTGGGCTGATGGAACCGCAAGCCTGCAGTGGCCGTGGGGTGCTACTTGGAATGTCCACACTCCATATCGGATTACCTGGTTCAAGATCGGGCTCTGCTTCCTGGGCAGTGCCTGCTTACATGTGCCTGCCGGGGGGAACCCGGAGGCAGTGCTGGGTTACTGGCTCTGGCCTGCCTCAGCTCTGGCTGTTCAGGGGTTTAAGGAGTGAACCAGCAGTTGGGAGGCCTCTTTCTCTCTCTGCGTTTCAAATAAATAAAAATAAAGAAAAATTTGTTTGAAAGGATAAACTGCTTTTTTGTGCAAAATTTTGAAATCATATATACGAGATCTTCAAAAAATTCACAGAAAGTATTATTATGAAACAACTGTACATTGATTTTAAATTTTTTTACACCAAAATAAACTTACAATATAATTCCACTTTTTAAGAAAAGGTTGATGTGTTTATCTGAAAGGCAGAGTTCCAAAAGGAAGGATGAGAGATGAGAGAGAGCCTACATTTGCTGGTTTACTGCCCAGAAGGCCATGTTGGCTGGGGTCAGGCCAGGCTGAAGCCAAGAGCTTCATCCGGGTCCCCTGGATGGGTACAGGGACCCACACACCCGGGCCATCCCCTACTGTTTTCCCTGATGTATTAGCAGGGAACGAGATCAGAAGTAGAATAGCCAGGCTTGAACTAGTGCCCTGTGAGCTGTTGGCACTACAGGCAGTGGTTTAATATGTTGTGTCACAGTGCTAGCCCTTAGTTGCATTTCTCTGTAAACTTTGAAGTAGTCTCCTATTCTAAGGTTCTGAAATTATCAATCAGTCAGACCTGCTGAACTCTTGTCTTATCCCAGTCCGGAGGCTTTGCTCCAGCAAAAGCCCCAGGGCGCCACGACTCCAGCAGCCTGAGGCCTGGTAGGCTCACCTGCAGGGGCTGATGCAGCTGGGCGAGCCTGAGTACCAGGCAGTGCTGGCTGCTCTCACTTTAGGCCTTTTTTCTCTCCTTGGCCATGCTCGTCAGTTCCTCTAACTTCTTCCAGGGGTAAAGGAATGGGGTGTTAACACAAGTTAGCCCAGTCAGGGAAATCTCCAATTATTTTCTCCCAGTTCAGTCTTACAGTAAACCTATGGAAAATGCTTAACATGTAATAAATGCTCAAAAGAGTTCATCCATTCATAGGATGACTGCCAGCAGTAGCTGGAAACCAGGGTGTCATGCATCCTCTGAGCCTGTGCGTGAGCTGTGCGTTAACCTTCTGCCACGGGGGTTGTTAGTATTTATCACATAAGAATTGGAGCTGGGGAAGAATTAACTGCAGGCAGTGGTGTTTGTATTGTGTGGGCGACAGCTGGTGACAGTTATAACTGGTTTTCCGAGTGAGTGTTAATAAAGCATGTAGGAGATTGTGATTCTTTTCTCTCTTTGAGCTGGACTGTGGGATCCACCCCGGCCTGGAGGGAATGGACGCTCTTCCTTACATCGACTTAATCGACCCAGCTGAAATTGACCTCCTGTTAATCAGTCAGTAAGTGTTCCCCTTAGTAATGATGCATCACCCCATAGGGGCACCCACTCAGGGCCTGGTTGCCCCACTTCTGATTCAACTCCCTGCTGCTGTGTCTGAAACCAGGCAGACAGGTTGTTGCTGTCCCATCTGGGTGAGCACCAGGCTGGAGGGTTTGCTGTGAACAGCTTGTTTGTCTCACTGCACCTGTGTGCCCCGGAACTGGAAGGGGTTGCTATTGACTTGGGATGATCCTAGCCCCTGAGACCAAGAAAGCGCCTTGCAGGGTGTG